GCTCTCTTTTTTTCTTTTCTGCTTTTATTAATTTTTTTATTCTGCCCACTTGGGCCAGCCGCTTCTTGGGGCTTGTCTCAGGTACTTGCGTTGCTGATTCTACGTCGAGAGCTGACCGTGCTTAAGTGAGATCTTGTTCTATATTCGATTTGAAGGACCCCTGGCCCTGCACTGAGGTTCCTGGCCAATGGTATGTTGCTTTGGTATGCTTGACACAGGACGTATAGCCTTGAATTAGACTGTTGTCGGGGGCAAGCAAGTCTGGTACGCCGTTGTCGACGTTGATCACCATTTCTCTGAATAATCTATAAACGAGATGAAGTGGCAATTAAGCGAGTACCATAACGTATAATCATGTGTTGTGCATTGCTCCGGCTGGGAGAGGTTGCATTGAAGTGGATGTTGTGGGTACGAGAAATAATCTCGACGTGCGGAAAACCTTTTCGCGCGAGTAGATTGAGGTGGCGACTCTGGAAATTGGAAAAGCGACGCGGAAGGGCGGTTTAGATGTAAAGTAAGCCACGCGACGTGAGCAAGTGCCTCGGGCTAATGCATGTCACTCCTTTGGGGAAATCACCTTCGATCGGCGGGATTCTTAGATCTGTAGGTGCCAGGGGTAGAGCGGATCTAGTGTGGCCTTCTTCTCGTGGCGAAGGATCGCGTGGTGTGTGGGCTTTGCTGTCGTATTTTCATTTATGGTGGTGTTAGGGTTGCGATTTATGTCTTGGCTCGTCAGTTCGTATTAGGACTCCGGATTGAAGATCGTTTGGCGAAGCGAGGTTCATATTGGGAGGTAGTTGAATCTATGACTAAACCTGTTTAACTGTCGGACCGTCGCTTTCTAAGGGTCTTTTTCAATTCGACCGGAGGTATTGATGATCGAATCCTAAAATCTAAGAATAGTAAAGGAAGTATTCTGTCCTAGAGCTCGAAACATTCAACGCAAGAGAAGTCCACGATACAATGCATCAAGCACGCCTAAATCCAGACAATACATAAGTCATCGCTATAAACCAGCAAATATACTCCAAGCCAGTCCAGACATGTAAAAGGAGAATGAACCAACATTATCTATGGATGACGAAAGGAGAACAATGACCCCCACGTCCGACCGTTGCCCCCATTTCTAGCCTTTTCCGTTTCCGTGATCAGAGAGTTCTTCTCTATATCGTTGTGTCTTGGGTTGACCTTCGGCTTTTGGCTTCTTTCCTCGGCTCGATTGGTAGAGTATTCCGAGCCCATTCCTCGTGGGACCTGAGATTTCGGAAACCTGGCAGACAAGGGGGTCTTGATGGCCTGCGTAGCTCGTCGAGCAGACCGTGTAATGACCTCGCGCATGGCCCATTGGCGTCTTTTGGCGACGATGAACAAAGTTGTTGTGAGGACTGTAGAGTGACTGGGGTCAGTAAACCTCCCTAAGTAGCATAGAGCTGGGATTGGAGCGATAGGAGATAAATTTAGGGAAACGGACTTCCGATGAGAACCACTAATCCTGCGACGACGCATAGCACGATCATCCCCGCTGACATTGACTTGGAGGTTGATTTTGTACCATATCCATATCCATCTCCTTCGACGTCGGTTATCAGTCCCTGTGCTCTTGACTGCGCCGTAAGAGTAGTGATGATAATGCAGGCGTAGGCAGTTTCCCAGGACATGTTGGTGATTCCCAGCGAAATGGGAAGGAAATTGGCAAGATCTTCAAGTCCTGGTACTGTGTCTTTGAGTGTGAAAATGGCTTTTCTTATTCTGAAAAGTTATAGATATACGAGATGTATAAAGACAGTTAGGTGGAAGACACAACGATAAAGTCAATAGTTAGTCTATATAGCAAGCTCAAGCACAACATCGTGGGCGCTACATGAATACGAAGTCAAAGGCTGTATGACAGGTACAACCTTGTGATAGGGTACCAGCAACAGTCCCAAGCCTTGAAGGATGAGGAGGCAGATTCTACCCCATTAAGTGGTCTATACAGCTGTGCTGAAGAACCTAAAGTTGGATTCACGGAGCGAATCATGTTCGCAAGAGACGACTGGGGGTGTGATGCTATGTTGATCCTGGTGATAACCGCCCTTAGCATCGACGCCGCAACCAATGAGAGAAACGCCCGAGGCGCCAGGAGGAGGAAACCGCAGAAGTGCCGGAGTTTCACTTTAAGCGAGATGTGATTTAAAACTCTCTGCTAGGCTGACTTCAATTGCTCCCATCAAATCAGTTTTCGGTAGCAGTCGAACGCTTTGTTGCTTGGGTTGTGCCATAGAAACCGTTTTGGCGTTTGGATAGCGGATGATCGCTATGGTCAAATTGGAAGGGTACAGATACACACGTCTGTGCGTAATTCAAGGTGAACAACATATCTCCTCTTTTAGATCGATTCTATATGTGGCAAGTCTCTGCCTCTGACCTAAATCCTTTGAATCGGAGCAGTTCTAAATTTAGAAGGGGTATACTATGTAGGCTATCTGGACCCAAACATGGATAGAGAGTCGAATCTCAAGAGCAAGTGAATCCATGCCGAGGGTATGGAGTAAATTCTACTATACTATTGATGTGATAATCAAGCTCCCAGTGGTTACCACTAACTGTCGTCGAACGTATACTCGAGATAATAAATTTTACGACAGGAATTTCGAGTAGTAGTAGGAGATACGGTGATGAAGCTGCCGCATATAAGATAGGGTTTCTGTCATGCGTGAGAGCCGTAATTCTCAGGTTGCTTTGTGCTCCTTCCTAATACAAAGTACTCCATCACGGGAACTGTCTTCTGGGGTGTTCATGGCGAAATCACTTCCATCCACTCCCTATCTTTCCATTTCCACAGGGTGTCTTACCGACCCGTTCGATCCATATTACCTGCAATTGTACGTTAGAGAAGCGATTAATTCTCAGCAAACACCCAAGTTCCTGTCGGCTACTCTTTTTTCTCTGGACATACGATTGACTCTGATGAGGACATGCTGTACCGCTTAACTCAACATGGGGAACGTAAGCCCTGACCCGCTAGTGGGTGATCATTCGACTATGTCCGAGAGAGAAAGAGACAGTGAACTCAATGACATTGGAGATGATGAAGAGATGCTCTTGCTACAAGTGGCTGGATCTAACACCGAACCTGTCTCGCCTAATCTTAAAACAGTCCTAGAGAAGGGTTCAGAGTTAAATCGAACAGCTATCCAGAACCAACCTGCGGCATCCCTTGTACAACGCCCACGGAGTTCTGGCATTGACCTGACGGCTTTCTCTTTTGCCAAGCCTGCACAGCATGGAAAGACATTCACGTTTCATCCACCAGTTAAACAAGCTTCAGCTATTCCGCCGCCTCACAACAATAGCGTCCTGCAAACAGGGCTAAATAGAACCAGGAAGCCTGATCGTACAGCCCAGAACCACCAGTCAAAGTAAGACAGCTTTTCATTGGCTTGCGTTCATTCTGCTAAGGAAATATTCAGACATATTTCCGCTCGGTCGAATAATATGGAAAGCAGCTCGAATCGCCAAAACACAACGGCCTCTTCTTCATCGTCGGAAATTCCTGCTCAAGAGTTAGAGACTGTGGGTAGCAAAGTAGAATCTGCCGCTAGAATAGACAATGTCCTTACCTCCACTGTTCATCAGTCGGAACACAGCCAAGCTCAATGTGAAGTAGCCGTCCTTTTTCCATCCGTTACCAATGGTCAACTTCTATCACCGGAAAATGAGCCACAAAGTAGGTGGGTCAGTTATACTTGCCTGGCTACGCTGATATGATTACAGCCATAAAGTCAGTTGCTCTCTTTAAGAGAAAGGTAGGAGGATACTTACAGTCTACGAAATATGTGGCACTGATCAAAACAAGATCCACGACAGATTTCCACAGTCACCCAAACAGCGCACGGTAAAGTTGAAAAAGTCATGTATTGCTGAGCACCTAGCACACGAGGACGAGAGAAGTGTTTCACTGTCTCCTACGAATAGCAAGTCAAGAGTCTCGAAGCATCGTCGAATGAGTGGAAAAAAGATCACGTCAAGACAGCCTGCCTTTTTGCTTGAAAATAGCAATGCAGACCTGTCTGAGGAGGACCTAGTTCAACTCCTGTTTGCTAAGATTAAAGCCCGAGAAGACAATGACGCTGTGGCTTCCAGCGAGAAAGAACAGATGGAGGCCCATGTTTCACAGCTTATACAAGACAATCTTGCTTTGAGAAGCCAACTCGACGTCCTCAGTAATGAGATACAGCAAAAGGCTTCGGAGTCCAGGGCATATAAGACTCAACTAGAGGCTTGGAAGGCGAAAATAGCGAAGTTCAAATACATCCTTAACGAGCTGGGTTCTGGTTACAAAGCACTTCGCGTGGAAACAACTCAGCTTAAACTGACAAAAGCATCGCTAGATAATGATAAAACGGAAATAAAAATCACAGTTGCTGATACAAGGGAGCAGCTGTCCCAGGCTTCTAGTATTGTTGAGAAGAGCCAAAGTTATCTTGTCGAATCACAAACGTTGATCAATTCCATGAAGCAGGCTTTGAAGAACGCAGAGGAAAAGACAAGCTCTGTTCAGGAGCGTTTATCCGATGAAAAGAAAAGATCGGCCTTGTTAGAGACATATATACAAGATCACTCACGTCTCCAGGCGAAAAGGATAGGGCTGATCAGGGCTGACCAGCTCGAAATGCTAAAAAAGCTTGATTCTGGATTTGGAACTGTGACAAAGCAAGCTGATAAATCTCAAGCATCTGCAAAATCAATGATGAAACAAATACTAGAAGAGTTTCATAAATCGTTTAGGTGCTTGGCCGAGAACCATTCCCAGGAAAAGTTGGACTTTAAGCAGTGTAACGCGACTGTTCAAGAGTGTTCATCTCAGTAAGTTACTGACGGCTTGACGGACCGTCCGAGGAAAAGTATGGCTAATCATCTTCAGAATTAAGTCTCTTACGGAAGACTTGACAGCGGTCATCGAAAAAAGCTCTAAGATGAATGGAGATAGGGCACGGTTTCTAACAGAGCAGCTCGAGTCTGTTCGGGAAAATGTGGGAAGTGAATCTGCTTTACTCAAACGTCTCGCCGCAAATGAAGTTACATGCATCGGCCTATATGAGAGGCTTGAAGCTTGTGCACCAAGCATCGATAAGCTCCGTACCTTCTTGGAAAGTGTTCAGAAGAAAGAGAATAGCCTCGCCCAGCAACTGGAACAGCTTGAAACCCGGCTCTCTGAGCTACAAGCCACAGAAACAACCGAGCCTACAGCCGCAGAAATTAAAGAAAGGGCTGAACTTGACCTTAGGATACAACAATTATCAGACAAGCTGAGAACTACTGACGAAAGCCTCAGGAGCAGAGCGACTGAAAATGAAGAGATGAGGCTGTCATTGCTCGAAGTCGTTACGAAGGGCCAGGAAGCAGAAGCCCGCGCAAACAGGTTCGAATCAGAGGCAATCACACTACAAGACGAAGTTAAGGTCATAGAGTCCAAAATCCGTGAGGAGCTCAATAGAGCCAGCGTCATCTCCCGAGATCAACATAGAGTCAAATATGAACAACAAATTCATGAATTGTTAAGAGAGAAGGGCGAACTGCGCAAGAGTGTTGAAAGAGTCCAGGGTGAATTAGCGGAGGCGCAAAAAGCACTGGTACGCCACGATGCTAGCAAGTACCTGGATATTTGCTGACAATGCAAAGGTTGAGAGTGAAACAACGCATATGAAGAAGCAGAATGAAACTGAATGTTTGGTGAGCGTATGGTTGCTCCCAACACAAAGCTTTTACTGATCCCCGAAGGTATTGGCAAAAGCTGAACAGATAAATGCCCTCGAAAGCAACTGTATGGAGAAAGAAATCTCACTTGCGGAGCAAACTGCGGAGGTCAACCGACTTCGGGAGAAGGAAACATCGATCGCAACGCAGGTGTCATGCATGCAAAGACAGCTCCATGAAGCTAACGAAAAAGCTGTCTGCCTTGAAAAGGAGCTCGTTGTGACCAAGGAAGAGGGCAGTGTATCATCTAAGCTGTTACAAGACAAACTTGACATACTTCAGAAAAGCCTCCTATCGAAGGAAGAAGAGTACACAAAAATTCAGGAAGAGCTTTCAATAGAAACATCAGCAAGGGTAAGCCTCGAGACTGGTAAGTCGAAGGCGAAATCCGAGATACACACTTTGCTGCGGCGAGTCCAAGATTCGGAACATTGGGTAAAGAAAATTAAAGAATCACTTGATCTGGTGGATACTGTATCTCCAAAGGAACCGTTCTCTGAAACTTGGAACAGGCTGGTAGCGCTCCTACAGCCAGTAGGATGGAAGAACAGCTCAGAAGCTACTAGTACTACATTGACCGAACCTATGGGTGGAGATACTTTTACTTGCCGCGATGCTGATGCTGCTAAAAGTATATCCATAACGCCCCAGGGAAGCCGCGGAGCCTCTGAAAACGACGTTGTCCAAACTACAGAATTTATCTATCGGACACAGAGTTTCCAGAGAAGTGTACATTCCTCTCCGGTCAACGAGGGTCTAAAAACTAGGAACCTCGAAGTGGCTGATGTGAAACTTCCATGCATCCCGGACTCTCAGCAGTCGAACAGCATTGTACCATTCTCAAGCGTTCGACAACTATCTCCGGCATGTTCAATATCCGACCAAATTCCGATCGACTTTGCAGCCATGCTAGTTTCGACACCGGAGGAAAATATCGTTACCGAAAAACCCAATGACCTGATTGATCCAAATGGGGGCAGTCCAGTGGCAGCCAGCTCTGCTGAGAAACAGTATGCTGCAAGAACAGAGGACACAAACGTACAGTCAAGAGATAGCACTCCATTGGAAAGAAAGGACCAACATCCTGGGGCTAGCCAGTCAGTTAGCCAGCTTCCTCCCATCCCGGAAAAGATGAAAACCTCCACGGTAGCACCAAAAGCAGTCACATTTGAAGCGCACAGTCCATCAATAAACAGTGAAAAGCGCAAGGCTCCGGACTCTGAAAACTGCCATGAGCAGAAGGATATATCGCAAATGCCGCTACCTGGCCGAACGCACCGAAGAACCTATAGTAGGAACAATCGGCAGACGCCTGAAGTGCGCAGCCAAGAGCAGTTCGCGCATCAGAATTACTTGCCTCCATCAAGTAGTAAAACCTTGGACCACGAGGGTGCTGAGAGACCAGACTCCACCAACAAAAGAGCTAGGGTCCCAACCTCACCTCAGCCAAGACGCCTGACAAGAGCTGATTCTAGATGCTTTGAGCGCAAGACAAGTCCTACAAGTCTCGCGTCTGGTAGCAGTCGACACGCTTCTATGAATGGCAACCGCCCCAATAATCAAAGGTAGCCAGCTCGTGGAGGAAGAAGAACAAGAGGTAAATATCTGTCCGAGTTATCAAGGTTAGTGAGATACGCTAAGCTCAGTAGGTGATCGCTACAGCGCTCGGTTCAACAGACAGATGTGAAAAAGTCTGTTTTGAAACCAGACATCTTTCTTCATAATGTATCTATATAGGTTGTACATGGTGTTGTTACTGAGTTGTTTGAGGTAATGTGCGAGGGGTGAAAGATCTCGGTAGACAGGTGGTTGCAAAGATGGTCGGATCCTAGAAATGGTATATTGAACACATTGATTGACCCAGACTGTACTGCTTTAAACGCCAGAATGCAAACCCAAAGTGATATACAGCGCAACAATATCCCGGAGTATAACAAAGTTCCAAGAATTATCCGCACTGATGTTGTCTAATGTACATGATGTATCGTTCGAATAGCAGATCGAGCGACAACCGCACAACTTGGTGGACCGTACCGAGTGAAGGTTGTCTCGTAACTATGCTGGTCGACACTGTCTCGAAGCTGAAGCAGACATCGCCTGTATCTCAGCTGCATATGTGCGGTTGATCGTTTGAAGGAACCGAGAGAACGTGCTTTATTTCGCTCTTCCGCCCTTTGTCGCTTCCAGGAACAGCACCTTCTTCTTCACGACGGGATCATATTTGAGCATGCTCAGGGGACGATGGGTACGAGGTCTGATCATCGTCCGGTAAAAGCCAGTCATGGCCATGGAGATGAGACGAACGGTGACGGTACGAGACTTGGCTGTTTGTATCCATTGTCAGCTCCGCACAAATTAGGGCGTTCTATCGGCGTGCACTGGTAGCACATCATTTCCGTGGCGTATTGAGAAGAGGATATATGTGCTTACCTTTCTTGGCCATTTTGGCGGCTCTAGTTGAAAGGAAATGGAACGTTGGGGCGTTTGGCACCTGATTTCAAGAATTCGAGATCATCGGAGATGCGGCGGAGAACTTTGGACTCGCGATAGTTACACGTGACCTCTGAAAGTGGTATAGTTGGAAATGTGGGTTTTGTTTGGCTTCCATTGTTCTGGAGCATTGCCATTGCAACCTCTCCTCAGAGACTACCAAATATCTTGGAGATGGAATCCTTGATTTATTATTTGTTACTACTCATAATAGTCTGTGTTCCTATCGCTAAGTGATGATGGAGCTTAATCAAGGACTTTCAGTTCAGGTCCATCTCGGGATTTCCACAGAGCCTATGCACTCGCTGTGTCTTTGCTCAAGTTATTGAACCACTGCATTTTCGCGACATTAAATGATCTTTTATCTTTATTTCATCTTCTGATTTTTTTTCGGAATCTAGGTAGAGTTAAAATATTTACAACAAATCATAATCACGCGAAAATTTGTTACACTGACACGAAAAGCAAGACTGCGACTACGGGTGACTAGTACAGTACATACAATACTCTTGCTATATCACCATATCCAAGAATAGCCTGCTTAGACTAACTCTATCTCCAACAGAATTTGGCTCTATGAAAATTTCTCCGGCCTCCTGACCTGCAGATCACTAGTGGCTCCGTTGGGATGCTAGATATGTATAACCTACTGGGTCGATCGCCAATGCAGGGTACCCTACTAAGGGCTATAGTACATCTACATATCCTATGAAAGCTTCATCTACTCAATATGACCGATATTTTCTCCATAATTCGTCTACTATTTCCTTCGTTCGTTCATTGCAACTGACTTCTCACGCTTGGCACGTGTACTCAGCCCGCGCGTTCATGCTTTCAAATATCAAGCAGGAGGACAATGTCATAATCATGAGTCAGTGTCCCATACTGGCGGGTTCTGTATGGATACATACATATATACCTGGTGACCCCAACATGGTGTATACTCAAAACGGCACGGAAACCGTCTCATGACCAGTTCCGATCATCAAAACAAGTTGTGGGCCGTGCTAGCCGATATAGATACCTCGAGCTGCTTTAGTGCCGGCTTAATCCGCGGCGGGCACTACTCTCATGCACGTTAAGTGTCCGTGTGCTTCCCTAAAGGAGGGTGCTTATACACCTTTTCTATCCTATCCGGGGGGGTTAATGGGTTTTAGTAGCCTGTGTCATGTGGTCACATCTGAACGGGAGGGTTGAACCGAGACGATCTACGGGTTAGGAACTAATTGGTGTTCTTGTTTTTGGGAAACCTTGTCGACCCGCCGATCTGATCGGGGATATTTGGTTGACCCTCCGTTACTGTTGGAGTGAGGGGTTTTTGTTGTTGTTGTCCTTGTTGTTCTCGTTGTGTCTTGTTATCGCTAGAGATGGTGATCGCTTTTGTGGGCGGTTAGGTTTGCGGGATTGTCAGCCGACTTGTATAACTATTGTTGTTCAAGCTCTGAGGATGCACCGCCACAGCTTTAAAATACAGGGTAGGCTTTGTTTACATTTTATTTTCCCTGATGTATGAATAAATTGACGCGAGGATGCCGATTCGGACAATGCAGAACCCATCGTTTCATATAGTTCTGCAGATGGACGTTGAAGAAATAGACAGCTTCCAACAAATCTGTCGTGGAAGTAGTAGTGGCCTAATTACTGCTGTTCCTCATTGCACTAGCCTAGCGAGGGCCAAATTAGATTCCTTGTTATTCATGAGCCGAACCAGCCCAGAGCCATGATATAAGGGATATGCCCATCGACACTAGGAGAATCCCGCCAACAGTACCACTCCACTTAGTCAATACATATCAGCCACTATGCCCTGCATTGCTCCCTACGTCAAGAGAGCCTGCAATACAAATTAGCGTCCATCACCCAATGCCCGGTATTAGAAATTAGTCGAGATGCATCGTGTATCTTCAAAAGCAAGAAAGTAGAAAGGTCATCAGGTGTCCAACACCATCCAACACACTAATGTACAACTACCGACCTAAAGACTTATCTTAGCACCATGGTTCCTCCGGAGAAGCAGTCCACACATACCACCAGATTAACGAAGAGAAGTTGTTACTCTGGCTTGGTGAGCAAAGCAGCAATGCGAGCGCTACGACGTCGCTTGAAGACAAAGCCGTCAGGAGACTCTGGCGAGGTCTTCCGCTCACGTTTAAACAAAACAGGCTTCTCATCATCTGCCGTCTCGTCTGTCGCATTGTTGGACCACGCTTCATGTGCCTCTGTGACAGGATCGTTGCTCATCTCAATCTCTCCTGTCGGCTGAATACTGTTTGCTGCTTGTTAGAAAACAGGCCCCATTGCCTGAGGACTCGATGCAAGACTAACCACTCCCCATCGTCAGATCCACTGTACGCAGTCGCCTTCTCGGTCGCTATCTCGGACTCCCCCAGCTCATTCAGACGCTCTCGATTGTGGATCATCCCCGTCATCATCGAGACAGGGCGGTCCAATCCAACACTTCCTTGCCATTTGGACACCTGCTCCTTCTTCTCGATGGTTCCGATCCCCTGGAGCATGGATGCCTTGAGAGACGGTTCCTCTTCACTACTGTACTGTGCGTTTTCGCCGTGGGTACGGTTCTCTTCCTCTGGTGCCGCGGTGGGGAGATGAGCTTTGAGTAAGTAAGAAGTTGTAGACATGGGAGAGGACTGGTCGACTGCCTCTGAGCCGATTGGTCGGTGGATGGTGGGGGTGAAGGGTGAGTAGGAGGTTCGGAAGCGTTTTTCAAGATCTCTTTCGATGTCGGTATAGTTCACCAGGACATCTAGCTCGCTGTGTAGCTTGTCGGGCTCGAATCTGTCTGCCATCTTCTCGGGGTGATAAGGGATATCTAAAGAAGGAGATGGGTGTCCGTATGCTCGGGGGTGATGTTGAGAGATGGGTTTAGCGGGGAGTTGGAGCTTTCCTCTGGCGAAGACTGCTTTCAACGCATGACTGTAGACAGAAAATACAAAGGATGGACACTAGACCGTGACTTCAACAGAGTAATAGATGTGACAGGAGATAGGTGGGGCGTCTGCTTAGTGGATAGAAAAGAAGGCCAGCCTGGTATAGAACGCGTTGGGGATAGTGGAGAATTGAGCTTGAATGAGTTCCACCAGGAACAGAGCTCAGCACAGCAACAGGCAAGACTCTACGTAAAGGAACAAATCAGGTTAATCCAAATGAGGGGAAAGGTCTGGAACTTCCTGACATGGTAGGGCGGTAATCTTCTCCTCGGGCTTACCACGGTTGAGGCGGATGCAGTGAATGGGAGACGACGCTCGTTCCACTGGGTTTGTTCCTTTGAAACTTAATCAGTCGACAAGATATCAAAGCTATTTACCGGGAGCTTGGACTCAAGATATCGACGACCCTCGGTGTTTCCTGGTTCTGGGTTTTGTAGGTCAGCTTTGCGGGAACTTTCTCATCTTTACACAGAGTAGCAGTAGGTTTAAACAAAGAAGAACCGTTGTAACCTACGTTTATCTTGTAACACTCAAGGGCACTTGTTGTGTTTTGACTAAGTATTATAATGGCAAATGCACGTTCTGGAAGATGGTCTAGACCTACAGCAGTATTCAACTCACCATAGGGCTAGCCCCCGAATGAATAAACATGCCTATAGCTATCAGTCTCCTTGCTCGATCAAAATTCTATCTTATCTATATGCCTTCTGTCTGGTTTTCTTTGACTGCTTGGGATACCGTAACTCCAAACTATACAGTGTAAAGATAAATATCACCTCCACAGAAAGGTTACCATTGGATTAGTTCTCACCCAATTTATACCCTATATGTTAAATCTATGGTGGTGATCACTCTCCCTAATCTATGGTTCTAGTCTTAATATCACACATACTCTTGTTTTCCTCCTGATCTAGTGAAGTAAATTTAACTTAGTTCCAATATTCTATATAGCAATCATCTGGAGGTAGAGAACCAGTGTCCTGCTGCCTGCACAGCCACAGCCCGCTTGATCTACAGCCGGTCTTAACTTACTGGGATCAGTATTGACTCGCATAAACACAACGTGCAGGATGCATTAGTTGGAGATACACTACAAGGGAACAGCATTAAACGATGCTATTAAAGGTGGGGTTGTAACTTGTATACATGTATTGCTACTAGTAATTACCTGTGACTCACTGATCAGTAGAATTCCTATGAAATTACGTTGTTCAGAAGATGTAGTTTATCTTACTCGGTACCATAGGTCTACTTTATAGTTTACATACGAAGGAAGGCCATTCTGTACAAGAAATCGTTTTTTTTTTCTTCTCTTTTTTTTGTATCTTTTCTCCACAATCTTCATAAATACATCGAGTCATAAAGACATAGTAAACATAGGAAAAGTTTCACCCAATGAATGTTATGTAATGTTGAGGGTGTGCGGAGAAGTACAATTAGTAAACTCCATCCAATCTCATAGGCTGAAGCCTACAGTTCGCAGAAAGTAAAAGCTCATGACTCACTCCCTGCATGCATGCCTTCTTCCAATCACATCAACTGAAAGATCCAACAAACCAAACTTGCAACTTGTTGTAAACACCACCTTTTTTTATTCACTTTCTTGGATTTTCCCTGTTTGTTTTGGGGGGTTTTTTGGGAAAGCTGTCCTTTTGGACAGCGTAGAGGCAATGTCTTCAAAGTAAGATGGCTAATTCACATAGGAAACCATTCTTTGCGAGGGAACAAAACCCACTGAAGACGCCAATCGGCGCGAACATCCGTCCCTGTTAAGACTGGAATCGGATGGGCACATTGTGCGTGTTATGGATTCGCGCATGAGCTGGGCCCTGCCCGGCTGAATCGTGTCTGTGTGTGTGTGTGTGTGTGTGTGTGTGTGTGTGTGTGTGTGTGCAAAGACGACAGAGATCGAATAGCACTGCCTGCAGCACGGCTTTATAGTGGTCCGTAGAGGTAGAATGTAAGATAAACCAGAATCTGGATGGGTGGAAACGCTCAACGGTGGTATTCGGTGGGTCTGTAGACCCGCGAGGACTCCCTGAAGCGTCTGCGCTCCGCTGCGTCAGACTCATACAGCGAGCCCCGGCTGGGGGAGCTCCGGCTAGGGGAGCTGCGAGGAGAAGAGTAGACAATGACCCGACGACGCATCGTATCACGGGGCTCACGCTCAATGATCTCAGTATACTGAACGGGCTGCTGTTGTGGGCTTGTCGATCGGCGAGGAGGCACGGGGTAAGTCCGGTCGTAGGTGATGATAGGTGACGGTGACCGAGGGGGCTGGACAGCACCCTGTTCTTTGTGGTTCAGGCGCAGACCATCTTCAATGGCGAGGAGCAGTGCGCGGACAGCCCGACAGTCGCGGGGGATCTTGACGAGAGTAGGCTGGTTGCGCTCACGGTCGAGGGTCGAGTACGACTTTCCGTTCTTGCTGTACAGGTAGTCGGCGACGTCAACGGCATATTGGTGTCCACGCTCGCAGAGGGAGCGGTCTTCTTTGCGCGCTTTGAGAGGATCCGCGCATCGAGTGCAGTGGCTTGCATGGCGCTCAAAGGCGACCATCACGTACTCCTCGTCAGCCTCGAGCTCGCGCACGGGCAAGACGGGATCGACGACATCGATTGGGGCAGGCATGGTGGAAGAACGTCGCAATGACCGTCTTCTACCTGGAGTGGGTTGATGGACAACCGTATCTCGTATGGGGAAGAGTCGAGGCAATGTGAGGAAACGAGAAGATCTTCGGGGAGACACTGTGACGGAGTTTGACGGTATAGTTGCGGAACTGGTTGGGAGTGATAGCAGAAGATCGAGTTTGTTTGGAAACAGAAAGTTTATATACTGTTCAGGAATAGGCAGCAAGAATTGTAATGGAAGAATGTGTAGATATAAAAGTGGATAAAAGGATCATCAACCGTGGGGGGTGAGCAAGATTATATACTAATGACTTGAAGGAGGCATCCATGTTCCAAAGCATACAAACTAAACTATTACAGCAGTCAGGATGGGTCTGCGCTATGACCGCACTGGTCACAAGAAGACTAGGGTGAACGATCAAAATAAAAATAAAAATAAAAAATAGTAATCGTTCATACCATGAAATTCAATACAATACGAGATTAGAACACAGTGTGGATGGTAGCCTGGCAGATGATGGGCAAGAAAGTTGTTCTGAATTTCTTCAGTGATACAGTAACTTAGGGGTCCGAAGGGCGGGTGACTCGACGCTAACCTTGAACGAGGCACGAGAGTGGTTCCTAAGGCTCAAACAAGGCACTCTCACTGGCGAGGGACCTGTGGCTGGTGCGTGCAGGCAGTGCTCTTCCTCCATGACCATACCGGTTGATCGCAAGTATTGCAGAGGGTTTAGGCCATCTGATTGGATTGTCCCTCTGAACAAGTCGGTCAATTCTCATTTTCACCCGCATTTGCCTGGCTCCACACCAATACAGCTAGTACAATTGGGGCTAGGTGCCTGTCCAGATCCCCTCCAAACAACCCGTCGCTTACCCGATTGAGCTGTCGGGGACACTTGAGTCGAGTCATCGTCGCTTGTCTTTCGGAGAAACGATGACGATACTACTACTAGTAGTCTCGGACTCCTTCTTGACAAGGATCACTGTGGCTTGAGTGGCTTGACCTTCTCGTGTTCCCTCCTCTGCCTGCGCCGCATTCACGACGTCAATTTCCCCCCAACTGCCACCACCATCACTTCCTTCCGTATTACTCTTCTGTAATACCGAAAGAATTCGCTGCGTTACCATCCCTGGAGATGCAGCCCTGAGCCATTGCATATTTCCTGCATCTGCATACCATTAACTTTATCATATTCGTTGGCTGATACTGCTCTCCTACTCCGTGGGGTAAGCATCAGCAACCGCCGAACTGTCCCTTTACGCTCATTTGCTTCGCAGCCGCTGACCACAATCGCGGGTTTTTTCTGAGACAGTAGATCGTTTGGAACCATTCTGTTGGTAACCTACAATATCCTGGAACTCCATTCATTATACCTCATCTCGTCTATTTTGGTCGCGTCGATTCTGTTCTAAGAATAAATCGGCACTTACCGTCCTAACACGAACGATGGATGTGATCACCGGGGCCATATTGATAAGGGGTCGCTAGACCTGTTCAGGGGTCGCGCCGTCTCAGCCTCAGTCTTCCAAACAGATACCTTGGAATATGGCTCAGCCTCAGCCACAGATGCCACTGGCTATTGTTGCTTCGTTTCGTCTCCCGCCATTCCGGTTAAGCGCCATATTTGGCCGCACGCAATGTCAGATGCTCACTGTGCATTGGTAACCTCCCGAAACTGAATACACTTGTTTACTTCTACTGATCAGCAAAGGGCCAAGGTTACAAAATAGAATTTCAATTTGACGCGCGCGCAATGACGTCTGGGCTGTTGAGTTCGTTTCACCCTATTAATATAGTGTCGCACTGATATGGCGGCAGATTTATGGTCCATAGTCCAGTACTTGTCGCGCTGACCAAAATAGAATATATCGCGATATTCAATTAGACCATTGAATTCTGCCTTGGCTAGCATCTCGAGAGCTACGAGAGCCTTATGACACAGATGACCAGCGGCACGAGCGCGTAACGCGTGCTTCCTTGGAAGGAGGGGTCAAATTCTGAGGATGAGCACTGCTGCCTGTCACAATGTGACCACTCTGTCCAGTAATGGCATTGACCTGCCTGGCTGACCAGGGGTAAGTGACGATCACACCAATCGCATTTTCCTCTAGGAACGTCAATGTTGGATCCAAAGCCTAGCTCTCTGAAGGCTCCAACGCCCTATTTTACCCTTTGCCACTCCTTGGGTGAACCGCTATAGCCGGCATGGCTCCAAGCCGGTGGAGAGGCATGGGCCACTGACGATCTACTCCGTACATAGAAGAAAATACCAACAGCCAGCAACACCGTCTGTCACGATATAATTTGAACTACTTCACTCCTTCAACAACTGAAGCCGGGCTAGCTCAATCGGTAGAGCGTGAGACTCTTAGTCTTCACGGTATCTCAAGGTTGCGGGTTCGACCCCCGCGTTCGGCTTAGCTTTTTGCTCTTGCGAAGAGTGCGTTTTGAAATTTTTTTGTGGTTCACCATCGGAAGGATGACTCTCGCCACGCAGGCTCCACTTCGGATAGGATCCACATGCGGCTACAAAAGCCTAGGCTGCTGCATAGATAGGCCACCTTGATCGGATAAGCTTGTAATTCAGGCAAAATATGCTTTCATAGTACATTTACCTAGTTGCGGTAGTAGTTCACCAAGGATTGCCTTGTCTATCCCTTGTAATGTGGGCGTGTTGTGGCGCGACCAGTTCTATTGCAAGAACCTGTATCCAGAATATATTTCGTAACAGTCAGCACTTCATATAACATGATTGCCCCCTCTATGAACAACAACTCAACTAAGTTCCCCTAGGCTTTACATAGAATGGAACAATTACACCGAGATTGATGACGCTCTCCTCTCACAATCCAGATGGCACTCAGCCAGACTAATTGCATACCAAGTAACAAAACAAGCCATGGAACTTATTAAACGCCTAATGCGCTACAATTCTCTGTCCTATTATCACTAAGCACAACAACCACGTAAACCTAGTAAACCACCCACTTGATCCAAACTAAAGCCAGTACAAGCCGCCAGTCCAAGTGACCAAGCCCATCAAGGCATGTTCTAGTCAAAGCCAGGTAGAAGCAATCGTCGCCATGCAGACAGCATTACCCAGGTCATTGGTGATATTTCGATGGATCCAGTCCAGTGTTTCCAGCAGAAGTATCAGTATAACACGGAGCGCTGACTCGAGGGCAGCCTGTCAATTTATCAGTATAAGGCACACTCTTGGGTATGATGGTTGGGGTAACCAAACCATTTAAGCTTTGACAGAGTATTCTGACGGAGTAGGCTTCAGTTGCGTGTAGGGGCTCTTATTTTGTGTATTCATGTTAGTGCTTCAGAGGTCCGTTTGTATCTCTAGGGTGAGGCATGTGGACGTACATTTAGGGGCGCATATGTTGTGCATGTCACAGGGACAGCTCTCTGGGCAGTCATTGTGTCCAGTACAGATGTTGTGACATCTATTGAGGACTCTGAACTCTTTGGGAGTAGCAGAGCTCTTATCCCGGGTGATAGCTACTGCGTTGGCCATGCCGAGAAGGGCAGAGAGAGCGAAGATGCTGGAGAGATTCATTGTGTCGAGACCAATGTTCTTGATTAGTTACAGGGTGGTAGTGCTCCAAATGTTAGGCGACTTTGTCAGGATACTGTGAGAAATTATAAACTTAAGAGAAGGGGAGGGGAAACGGGAAAAGATACCCAACTATTTATATTGGGTAAATCTTCTAAAGTAAGTTAATAAACGCTCAACATAGTTATACTTTTCTGTCTAGACTTTTGTACTTTTGTACAATAGTTAATTTGAGGATTAGTCACCCTAAAAAACATGCAGATCAAACTCTCCTTTGTTTGTGAATTGTGTTATTCTAATGCATGGATCTACGGGTGGTACCTGACTACCCCAGATTTCGATCCACTGGGCAGAATATTGTAATCACCACAAAGAGAATAGCCGTGGATATGCACCCAAAAACCTTGTATGCACTCAAAAAACTTTGATCCGGAGAGCCGAGCTCTAGCCAAACCCTAGTATTCTACCTATTGAAGGAGACCTTGATGATTGCTCACAAAGGCAATCCGACAAACTATCAAAGCCTCCGAACCTTAAACTAGGAGTCCCTGTCTTGTGAGATGGGCCAAGGAGCGGAATGATTCCCACTGGTTACACCTTAACAGGGTATGTTCAACAGAATCAATTAGTCTATGCAATGAATTGACCTATCCTGGTTATGTATTAGTGGGGAATATTTCCCATTCTCATGCTGGGAAGGTGAAGTTAGGCCAATGCATAATGGAATTGTCTTCAATAGACTTGGTCTGGTGGAATTAGCTGCTAGTCAACTACATGTAGTGACATGAAAAGAATGTAAAAATAAAACAAGATCTCTATAGAGAACTATTATTCATAGATATTCGAGCATTGGGTGATCTCTGTGCTCCTTGACTAATTTGTGATGCTATCTGGAGTATGGCAGAATTTCGAATGCTACGACCAGCATTGGCATTAGTATGATTAATAGTATGTAACCCACTATGGACTTATGCGATAGATCATATCTGACCGGTGCAACCAATTGTCTAGCCGCAATTGATAAATTGCTTTCGGCTGTAGCGTATTTCCCGAGATTCGTCCGTTATCTCGTCTATTCCACCAACAGATAAATGCAGCTTGCCGAGTCGTTCATCACTACTGGACCCTTTGCCGAGCTGCCAATCGTCGGGGTTGCCGACGCTGTGGGGACTCTGGGGGGACTTATCGGTTCTCGACGCCTCCCCGCCTTTTCTACGTACTGCTGATCTACGATCCTGCATGTCATTCATAAATAAGAAGTGTCCGCATTTAACTCCGCACATGCTCTCGGAATGTGACTCCTGTCTTCATCCTGCTCTTTTCGTCCGTCCTCAGCTGACCCTCTCCCATAACCATGCAATTAAAAAGCGAGAACCCGATGTTAAAACACCCATCAAGAGATGATGGCCTCAAGGCCGTTATCGAGAAGTATCGGCCAGACCTGAAGCCGTTTGAAGAGATCTATCGCCAGTTACACAGCTCTCCCGAGCTAGCCTTCCAAGAAGAGAACACATCAGCTATCGCTGCAGATCATCTCAAAAAGTTGGGCTTTGAGGTTCACACACACATTGGTGGATATGGAGTTGCCGGTATCCTTCGTAATGGCGATGGGCCAACTGTTCTCCTGCGAGCCGACATGGATGCGCTACCTCTAGAGGAAAAGACCGGTTTGCCATACGCCAGCGACAAAATCGTTAAAGACAAAGACGGAGTAGAAAGACCAGCAATGCATGCCTGTGGTCACGATACACACGTAACAAGTCTCATGGCGAGTGCTGAGCTTTTACATTCCGCTTGGGATCACTGGTCTGGTACTTTGATCTGCATTTTCCAACCAGCAGAGGAGTTACTGTCCGGCGCAAAGGCGATGATCGAAGATGGATTGTACGAGAAGATCCCCAAGCCAGACGTTGTCCTGTCGCAGCACGTCATGAAAATGAGAGCGGGCACAGTCAGTATTCGTTCGGGTCGGCTGCTCACGGCTGCTGATTCGTTCGATGTGCGCATCTATGGGCGCGGTGGACACGGCTCGGCTCCTCAGACGTGCGTCGATCCTATCGTTATCGGTGCAACAATTGTAACGCGCCTGCAAAGTATCGTCAGCCGTGAAGTGATGCCGGGTGAACTCGCTGTTGTCAGTGTTGGAAGCATCCAAGCCGGCCATGTAGCGAACATTATCCCCGATCAGCTGGATCTGAAGCTTAATGTTCGGACATACGACCCTAAGGTCCGCGAGCGTGTTATATCCTCCGTGAAGAGAATTATCGAGGCAGAATGTCTAGCAGGAGGTGTCGATGAGAAACCTCTTGTTAAGCAGATACTTTCTGCTCCCGCAACTATCAACGACGATGCCACGGTCAAGGCTCTTCAAAGTACATTTGGATCATATTTCGGAGAAGCCTGGTTGAATCGGAACCAGCAACTGCAAGTGAAGACTTCTCTCTTCTTGCGACGGCGGTAGGAGCACCGTATGTGATGTGGACGTATGGTGGAGTCGACCCTAAGACATGGGATGATGCTGTGGAGCAGGGTACCACTGATCAGCTGCCTAATAATCACTCCCCATTCTTTGCTCCAGTGATCCAACCGACTCTTGGTACTGCAATTGATGGAATCGCTCTTGGAGCACTGACTTTCCTGAAGCGGACCTAAGTGATGGCAACCCCACACCGAAAGCAAGTCAATGCGGATTGCATCATTGTTGCGGCTGCTATTTCTACATTTGAGCGCTTTCTTCTATTCTCCTGTACATAGTCATTGCAATGGCCTTCTTAGGCTGATAATTGCAGATCACTTGCTCCTCTAAGAAGCCAGTTAGTTCTAGTAACTCGCCCAAAGGCCCTGCCCTTGACGCAAGACAGGCATATCTTTGATCCAAGAACTCTGTCATTATACGGGCGTAAGTTGGTAAATATGAGTCCTACAACACAGCTTTCCAAAGATTCTCCGAGGCATCAATGGCAAAAACTATAGCATTGGACCTTCCTGCAAGGAGCTTTTCAAACACTCTACCAGCATCGTTGGATCCATAAATGTTATCGAGAACAACACGCACTGTTCCTTGTACCGACCGGAAGGGATATCAATAACCACTATACTATTAGTTAGTTAGTGAGGAGTACTAGTACTGACTACCTGTTCTCTTACGAAGGAGCTCCAAATCAAAGCTACTGCAGTCGCAATCAAAAAGAGGAGATCCTACCTGTGATCGAGAGGTTGTCGGAGGTTTGATGGCCACTGCGCCGGACTCCGAAGCAGTTAATGGTGGGGCTTTTGCTGTCTCCTGAGCAGTACGTATTGCATTTAACGTCTTGCAAGGATCGGGGATGAATAAGCTACTACTAGGGATTTATGCATTGCATTCATTTAGAGTTTAGAACTCACTTTGGCAGGGACGGTTCCCCGCCAACAACACTGTACCAAATAGCATTCTTCCCGCTAATCCCCTTATGAAGGATGGCGAGCCGGAACACACCTCATTTGCTAGTATATATTTGGCAAACAGCCAATGTTTAGCGTTTGAAGGCCCGAGTGCCTAGGATACGGGATCCGGGTAGCAAATGGGGATATCCCGCGGTCCGCTCTCCTGGTCTCATGTGGCTGCTTCCACTATACGGCGGTTGCACAAGAAATCCATACGTGCGACTCGAGATATCATATAATATCCACTTGATAAGCTTCAAGCACATATGAGTCGTGAAACTCACAAGACATGAATGTGGTGCTCGATGATAAGCTTACCGGAGACGCTTGACACGCTGTCAGCGATAACAGGGAGTACCGCCGCTTGCAAAACGACCGTTCCAGCCTCCCTCCAGAGCAAGATCGACAAACAACGTGCAGAGAGTCGCAATTTGCCAAGACAAGTTAAGAAATTAGGAGCGCCATAAAGATTGCCTCTTGCAGTCTCCACTTGCGATACAACAACACATCGGCCAAAAGGGGGATAGCGTGTCCCATGACATCATGCCCTTGGATTGATCAATGAGATGCTTCTCCCCCTGCAGTCTTTCAGGTTCCAGGCCAAAGTTGCAATTCTCAGTTGCTCATTGCCAATGCCCAATCAATCGTCTTTGGGCCTTGCTGTTTGAACTGCTACTATGGGTCCAGTTCGTACCTAGCCGAACTCATCATCCTCGGATCACATCGTTGCCCGTTCAATCCCCCTTACCTGCCACATACTAGCACCCAGTGGCAGTGTTGGGCGCTATTTATTATTACGCTATCGCCGGTTTAACTCTATAACCATCCGGTTTTTCTCGTGGACTATGCTTTGTTTCCGTCATTATACATTCCCTAGAAAAACCATCACTAGTGCAGGATGCCCTTGAACACGGTCGCACTCAGTGTGGCCCTCACCCCTGCTGTCATCTCGACATTCTTCTCTCATGTGAGCCGCCATCGACACCGGGCTTCATTTGAGCTCTTTTTCCTTCCTCGCTAGGGGCGAACCAGCTAACAACGTCTTTCTTTCTAGTATTTGCACCGTAAATCACTCCATCATAAACCAAGCATTCATATCGAATACGATGAAGGTGTTCGGATATTCCGCGAGTTCCTCGCTTACTCGGCCAAGCACTCCGTCGAGGACCTTCAATCCTTCACGGGCCAGAGAGTCCCCAGTCCTCACTGGGTGAGGACTGAAACGGTTACCATTCCCACTCAATATCTGTCATCTGCCGCAACGGCCTTGATCGACCAATTGGGCCCCAAGGGGTTGCCCCAGGTTGGAGGGAAAGAGTGGTGGCAATGGCGCGGACCAGTAGATGAATTAAAAGGCGAGTGGGTCGAAATGAGAAATGATTACAATGAAAGAACGCAGGCCAGAAAGATTCACGGAACCCATCCGAGTCAGAAACGTATTATGTTTTACATACACGGTGGAGCGTATTACTTTGGAAGTTTAGAAACGCATCGGTACCAGATGCAGCGTCATGCCAGGAAGCTAAAGGGACGAGTGTTTGCACGGTAGGTTCTAGGTGTTCTGGTTGTTCTGTTGTGATTATGCTAATCTTTGTCTAGTGAGTTTAATGATTCCTTCTTGGAGATTTGTTCATTGGAAGAGCGCTAAGTACGTTTGTTGCAGCGGCATATCGTCTAGCTCCACAGTTCCCATTTCCTTGCAGTCTGCATGACTGCTTGGCTGCCTATCTGTTCCTTCTGAAGGAACACAAGCCCGAAGAGATCATATTTGCTGGAGACTCTGCCGGCGGAGGAATGGCGCTCTCGTAAGTTGAGCGCACACGGAAAAAAGCTTGCATAGCTAACCTTGAAGAAGGCTGCTATGTATTCTTCGTGATCAAGGCCTGCCTTTGCCTGCAGGAGCGATCCTGATTTCACCCTGGGTTGATCTCACCCATTCTTTTCCTAGTATAGTGAAGGATAACCCCGGTGACTATATACCGCCCTACGGTTTCAGGCACAAGCCTTCTGCCGCCTGGCCACCACCAAACTCGGATGAAATAGAAGCCATCAAGAAAGGCCTCGGGAAACAGCGTGCTACCGAAAATAGTACGAAAGAGGCCATACCACCCAACGGCAGTGAGGCTCAGGAGACAGCTGTCAAGGGTTATTCGGTTCACGAGAACCTGTCGGCCAAAGCATCTATGAATGCAACGGATGAGCCTGGTAATCCTAGGGTTCTCATTGATGGTACGACCGTTGAGATCAAGGATCAAATCCATATGTATACGACCAACCAACTCCTATTCCACCCACTCGTTTCTCCTGTTCTACAACCGTCCCTGGGAGGTCTACCTCCTTTGCAGATTCTAAGTGGTGGTGGAGAAATGCTACGAGACGAGCAATTCTACGTTGCTCATAAAGCAGCAAATCCGACCGCTTACCCGCCCAATGATGATTTCTTAGACGAGTACGACCCCGAACGTGAAACGCTACACAAATACTCCGGAACCCACGTCCAACTTCAAGTTTGGGATGATCTTTGTCATGTTCCGACTACTTTGAGCTTTACTCGCCCAGCAAAATATATGTTTCGATCAATTGCACAGTTTGGAGCATGGGCTCTCGCATGTGCTCAAGAAACAGAGATTGATATTGTGGACGACACTGACATCTCACCTATCTCGTCTGATAGCTCGGAAGACCCAGACACTCGCACCAATGGGCCCCAAGCAGAGAATTCGAAGCAGTCTGTGGCATCTGTCGGGAAGGCTGGCGATCGGTTACCTCCGTTCAAAGAGCGCATGATTCGTCAAAGGGTCGACAAAAGAGGTCATATATATCATTTGGAACCCCAGGCTTCGTGTCCTGTCCTTCAAATCCCAAATTCACAAGTCGGGGCCATCAATCCGGAACTGGTCAAGAACTGGCTTGCGGCGAAAAAGGAATGGGATGTGAAGTACGCCAAGGACAAGCTTCATGTCCAACGCCAACGGGTCAAAGAGTTGGCTCAGTGCTTCCAACAAGATTTTGTGGGCGAGGTGCCCCCTCCCAGTTCACTGGCGGCGAGAAGGTCCGCCCCTGGAGTCATGCCATCTCGAGGTGGCCGGAAGAGCTACCCGATGACCATATGGAGCAATTGGGCCAGCAGGCATGACGAGAGGAGTCTCCAACGGGAGCACAAGAAGGAGAAAGAGGGACAACCCAAGAGAACCAGCGTAGAGGCTGGACGCGCCGGAGCTTGCATGAAAGCAACGGAGGTTGATGAAGGCACCTCTCCGTATAATGAACAGGTTAGTCATGGCTACCAGAACGTTGTTATTGTCGATACTAAAGAAAATATTCAGGATACATCAGATGGGACAAAGAGCTCAGCGACCCGGACAGAGGAAGATGTTTCGCATAGGCTTGTCAATAAGAGTTCGGGCCCTATGATAATCCTGCCCCCATATGATGAGAAGAAGTTCACGGAGGAAAACGCGAGCACGCAAGCACTTTTCCACGCACGAGGAACTATGACCTCAACGTCCGACCTATCCATGGCCCGAAAGCAACGACCGGTATCCCAAGCCGGGTCAGGCACAATTCGAAGCGGCATCACATCTGATATTGCAGATGATACCAGTACTCTCGGAGACAGATCGCTCGCCGTTACCAACACCGGCGTCGATGCCGCTAGTACTCGAGCAGTACGGAACTCGGTCGGAGTTGTGGGCCTGATCAATGATGGCGACTCAGCCTATCGCTCTATTGATTTCTACTCTATACCGCGCGACTCGGGTGACCTTGAGACCGATTCTCTTGGTGGGAGGACGACGGAAGGAGATATCTCTCGCACCGTCTCTCGCCCGGGAATGGCTGACCGAGAGTTTTATAAAACTGCACAGGAGCACCCTGCAGCTTGAGATGCATAAATATAACCGAAAAACGAAGCTTTGCATATACGATCTCTGGAAATATATGATTCGAGTATGCCTGTTTCTGTTATTATGTTGATTCATTTGAGCCTTCAAGATACACTTATTGGTAAGGTGATGTACACAATTATACCTCTTACACGAACGCCCACCACATTTGTTTTGATATGTTTGGGAGTCTGGTTGGCCCTTAGAAATATACTCTTTCTGTTTGATACGTCGGTTCCTCAATACCCTGGTTTTGAGCCCCTTTGTCCCTGTGTTATATATAATATCTTATTTTCTGAGATAGCTACAATATAGTCCTTAAGCATGTTGAACACTCACATCCATCAAGGCCTGAGCCGGGTATATAGATCCTTAATATAGTACAAAGCCTGGGCCATCCCAAGGATGTTCATTATCCCAATCACCATTCAATCCCAACCTTCCCCGCTACCTTCTCCGCAACATCTAGGAAGGCCTTTCTTCTCACGCTACGATCCTGACTCTCCTCGGCAACAACCGTCGGCATGCCTCGATCGGCATCCTCGCAGACCCTGGCATCAAGCGGGATATCTCCCAGGAACTCCACCCCTAACCTCTTGCACTCAGCCACAACACCCCAGTCCTCTGCTTGGTGAGAATGCTCCGACGCATCAGACTTATCACCATGCGAAAAGATCTTCGTCTGATGCCCGCACTGCGGACACGCGAAAAACGCCATATTCCTCACCATTCCCAGAACGGGGATATCCATCTTCTGGAACATGCCGTATCCCCTCACCGCATCTCGTAGAGCGATATCCTGCGGCGTGGACACGATCACCGCGCCGTCAACGATGATCTCCTGGCCAATCGTTAATTGGACGTCGCCTGTACCGGGGGGAAGATCGAGGAAGAGAACGTCGAGAGGACCCCAGGAGACGGAGTGGAGGAGCTGATGCATTGCTTTCGTGACCATTAAACCGCGCCAGGAGATGGGGGTTGTGTCCATGGGGATTGTGGAGGGGTCTTCGGGGGAGGGTGTCGGTTGCGGGAGGAGGTAGCCCATTGACATTGATTTGAGGCCGTAGTTTGTTAATGGGAGGAGGCAGTTATCTGTTTTTTGAGCGATCTGTTAGTATGGCTTTTTTTTGGCTTGGGTGAGGTTGGGAATGCGATGCGCACTTTCGTCTAGTCGGGGCTCGCCTGAGAGGTTGAGGAGTGTTGGTATGGATGGACCGAAGATATCGGTGTCGAGGATTCCTGTTCTGATTCCGCGCCGTGCGAACGATAGTGCTAGGTTTACTGTTGTGTTGTTATTGAATTAGTGTGTTGAGTCCGTGTATACTTCCGATATATGAAGAGGTGTAGTAAGTCGTGAGATGACCTATATTGAATGGAGTACAGGTCCAATGGGTATGTATATAACGCACCGGCAATTGTAGATTTCCCAACACCACCCTTGGCAGATGAAACCGCGATAATCTTTTTCACATCGCGAATCTTGCGCTTCTCCGGTAATCCGCGGCGACGAGGGAACGAGGGCGGCGTGCCGGAGCGAGGAAGACCCTGTACAACAAGTCATTAGTATCTAACCAGAATTGATCTAGGATGCATAAATATACCAGCGGGTTATCATGCTGCAAAGGACGAAAGGTTGAGAAGAGCCTCTTCCGCAACATGGCTGAATGCATCATTTTAAACCTTTATCAAGGTCGATCGCAAAATGAAGTCAACTTTCTTTCTGCCAATAAACTCTCACCGATGTCATTCATATTGCCGGGAATAAACCCCCACCGCCGGAGTAACCTACCCTTTAGGAGAGCTCCGCAAGCTATTCGGGGATGTTAATCCGTCACCGCCTGCTAACTTTTCTACGGCAGAAAAATAAAAGTTGCTTAAAAAAATTATCCGCAAACAATATTTATACCGGCACACGCAGGTATATTCAAAATGGGTCCCAAGTCTTTGGCGGAGCAAATTGCTGAATTGGAGGATCCGACTCCGAAAGGTGGGGGATTGCTGGTACTGTGTTCTGTGACATTGCGACGTTAACCGTTTTTCTTGTTGCGACAGATTTCGATCCGGAGGATTTGGAGCGCGGTGGCTCTGATAGTGAGGATGAAGGTGGTCGCGCGGCCGATTCGAGTGCTGGGAGGGAACATTACCAGACTGTTGGGTGAGTTTAGGGGTGTTTTTTTCCCTGTGTTATCAGTGCTAATTGAATATAGCAAGGCGAAGCTTCGGAAGCAGGACCCGGTTGATCTGGGGAAACAATATGCCGGTGCACGGGTTAGCAGAGATGCGCTCGATGCTGATAGCGATGACGATCCGTTCAAGGCACGGTCTAGTGATGAGGATGAGGACGATCTTGAGCTAGGAAGCGACGAGGACGAAGACATGTCGGAAGCGAGCGATGAGGAGCGGCCACAAAAATCGAAAGCAGCTCAGAAGAAGGGTCATGGCGCAAGGATTGTCGATGACATGAGGTCGGATGACTCCGAGAACATTGGGAGCGACGAGGATTCGGAAGATTTTGACGAAGATGATATGGACGGCGAGATTCCCTCCGACGAAGACGAAGACGAGGATGAAGACGAAGACGAGGATGAAGATGATGAGGATGACGACGAAGAGGACGAGGATGAGGAGGAGGAATCTTCCGCTCGTCGTGTGAAGTTCGCCAAACCCGCAAAGTCAGACGATCGGGAAGAGCTGCGCAGACTGATGGCTTCTGATCAGAAGACCATCACGGCTACCATATCACAAGCTGCTAAAGCCGATGCAGTTAAAGGAAAGGCAGTTAAGCAGCAACGTACGACTTTCGATGCGCTCCTGAACACCCGTATCAAGTTGCAGAAGGGTCTTTCCGCGATCAACCAGCTGTCCGTCGCCGCCAAGGAAGAGGAGGATCTTGATGGTGAAGCTATCAAGTCCGCCGAATCCGCCGCCTTGGCTCTCTGGTCTACTCTCGAGGACCTGCGCCTTGCCCTCGCAGACGCGCAGACTCAAGACGAATCGAAGAAGAGAAAGCGGCCCTCCGCAGTCTCCCCAAGTACGTCTACCGCTTCATTGTGGAAGCGCATGGCGGATCTTGAGTCCGACTCGGTTACCCACCGCCGAGCAATCCTTGATAAGTGGTCGCTCAAGGTGCGTGGGTCTAATGCTACGATTCCTAACAGCCGTGGAAAACTCTTGGGCTCGGCCGCTAGTGGACAACAGAACATTTCTGCTGTTCTAGATGCGCAGATTGCATCTGAGACTGATCGCGCTGCCAAGCGCGCGCGTACAGCGAATGGTACCTCTGCTGGTGATGAGGATCAGGAACCTATCTACGACGATACCATCTTCTACCAGTCTCTTCTCCGGGACCTCGTTGAGCAGCGCATGTCCTCGTCCGATGCTATCACCAACGGTATCGATACATTGCATATTCAACTGCCTTCTCGCGGTCTTTCTATTCACCCTGTGACCGGTATGCGCAAGGACAAAGTCAAGAGGGATATCGATACCCGTGCGTCAAAGGGACGAAAGATGCGCTTTGAGGTCCATGAGAAGCTGCAGAACTTTATGGCACCAGAGGAACGAGGCACATGGACTATCCATGCCCGAGATGAGTTCTTTGCTTCTCTCCTCGGAAAGACAGCAAGCGGGATGCTACGAGAGGGTGACGATGAGGATGCTAGTGCTGCTGAAGAAAGTGACTCGGATCATGAGGAGGGCGGATTGAAGCTTTTCCGGAGTTAGAATTGCGTAAATCTTGTGAAAAAGGATATGTTGAATTAGTATATACTTAGGCTATCCAAAAAGAGTTTTTGGACATATTGTTGTCTTTTTGTTTTCAGTCTGAGTGCTCAGTCCTCGCCCTTTGAGCAAAAATGTTGCCTGAACAGCATAGTTTCACCCATGACCACCTTTTCCTAGAATGTAGAGGAGCATTCCCTTTTGCCTTTTTTGAAAAGATGGCATCCTTGTGATCACTATTGCAAGTTGCCTCTTAATCGAATAGAAAGCCCAGCGACAACAGGCGATATATCTCTTCAACAGGAATCCTACCCTACGGGATATCTACCTAGGAAAGGCCATATACGGGGGCGAACAACCTTTGGAACCTGCGACTGCTAAGAATAACCAGTAACATTCTCCCTCAGTGTAAACTGTAGAAATCCATATAGGGACACATTGCAAATGGCAAAAGGCTGACGATATCTCATACTTGCCCTATCAACCAGCCAGGGGCAACTCTAGTTAATCGATAACGCCCGAGCAATAGGCTAATAGCCACAGTGACATACAAATCCGCGGTCCAAATCACCCCAAACGCACATGCAAATATCGTTTCCCAACGACTGCGAACAATTTAATTAATAAAGTATCGATGCAGATCACCAAGGCCCACCCCTGCCATTCTTCCCGTCCCCTGGCGGCCCATGCACCTTCGGAGGAATCGTCCCTGGCATTGGCTTTGGGATCCACCCTCTCAGCCCTCCAGGTGTTCAAACTAGATTGACACGCCCGGCGGGATCCAGTCGGACATCCGAATGGACAATCTCAATCAATGGAGATGTGGGGGTGTGTAATCCCTTGTAAACCCTATAGGTTGTATATTAAGGTACGGTACGTAGGGGCGTTCTCAGATCCTCTGTTGATAGTGGTGGGAATGATAACGTCCCGTCTCGGGGTAATTAATATGTAGAGGATTAAGACTAGGTTAGTCCGTAGGTAATCACGGATTGAATCTTTTAGCCGACTTCCAGTTGTCGGGCAGTTTTCTTAGGTTGGTATTTTCAGAGGGTTGTCGATTTTCGACAGCACTGTGCACAGTGCAGCATGGGCGGCTATGGCGTAGAACTAACTATACGTAGTAGATTGAATAGTGCCTAGAGAAAGGCAATGTCTATACCTGGCTAGGAAGAAGGAGGCTGTATTCTCAGAAATGAACTGTCCCTTTGACGACTTGTTCGATTGTAAGTGACAATACATGATAATAGTTACATGTGAATAAGTAGCTAAAATATCAGAACAGAAATGAATCTTATAATACAACAAAAGCCCATTAACAATTTGGTGCACGACTAGCATGAATCATAAAGTAAGCAAACGATAGCTTGCGAGCAGTTACAAGTATTCGTCTGTAGACATCCCCACCCCATCTCCTTGCCCCACTGTTTGACTGTGGTCATCAATCCGCATAGGGCTTGGGGTAGCAGACGGACTTCTAGCTGAGGGCCCCGTCACCGTGCCTAATGACGGCAACGCCTAATCACGGGGCAATGTACCCGGGGCGGGCTGTTATTTAGAATACTAAAATTGCTGTTAGATTACCTGTTTCTTTCACGTCATGATGTTGGCATTCGTGTGCCACATCGTTGGCACTGAGGGGGATTGCCTGGCAGCCCTATATAAGAAAAACAGAATAGAAATACTAAAAGACATTCTTTTGACATATCATAAATTACAATCATGAAGACGTCATACATCTTCCTCAAGCTTCAGGGCCCCTCTCAACAAGGTTGATCGTGTCTAGTTCGTTGATCGTGTCCGGAATCCTCTTGTGATTTCGGGCGGATCGACCGCTCTGTCTCGAGGAGCTGTAGGGTTCGTAAGATTTAGAGCCAAAGGTCACAGGTCTGCCTCGGATAATGATCCACAGGGGACGCAGCGTCGGAAGACACGCAAGGATGACAGCGAGCGAGATTTCGATATTCGTCCAGAAAAAGACCGGAGAGGTATAGTCTATAACCGTACGTTAGCAACCACTTCGGAGGCGGAGTTGGCCACTTACACGTTTCGTCGTTATAGTGCTCCATAAAGGTAGTTCCGACATGGAAGTACATGGCCATGCGAGTAATGCTGATTGCGATAACACTTGATCTCCACTTTGTTAGTCTGAATGATAATCGCCGCTTGAAAGAGACGTAGGACAGGGAATCATACGCTGCGCCCATAATGAACATGCCTGCGACGGCCAATCTCTGCTTCATGGGCAAGCGTAGCTTGAAGACCAGAGGTAAAGGCAGTACCAGGATGATCACGTCGATGATCACGTCGGTGATGCATGATGCATACCACATAGAAACACTATCGATACACTTGTTGCCATAGAATGGCTCGACTAGAGGTGTTATGGGATAACAGGTGAAGAGGTTGCTGAAGAAGAAGGATATCGTCCAGGCACCAGTAATACCCAACAGGACCGCCGAGACATGTTTGAATACGCGAGAGACTGAGAAGATGCCCCGAAGCAATACGAGGAGCGACAGTTTTGTCAGGCCCAAACCAATGACGGCCAGTAATTGACTGGCGAACTTGCACTAACCAGCAGAATACTTGATCAACTGTCCGTTCAGACCTTGCGAGAGTTATTCTCCCATACGAACATACCTTTTCATAGGTGAGGAACCGAGGATCGTTGAGAAGTGGCTGTCCATCGGGCCCGGTTGTCTGATGCTGTCCCAACTGGCCATCGATGGCACCTGGATAAAGCGTGAGCCACTGTGATCATCTCGCCCACCGGGGATAGGCGAGATACCTATAAGTTGTGTGATAGAACATGCGACCGAGAAAGCCTAGAACTCGTTAAGATTGCAACATATACACATGTATATCCACGTACCAGTGCCCCAAAAATCAAGTAGTCATCCCATTGTACACCTCCGCGTGAAATCCACTTGGCCCAAATCCGGAGATTCACGAAGATACACGGAAGAATTAGGAAGGTAATTCCCAGCGCGATCATCTGCGCCTTCGAGTAAGAATCAATCGCCATGATGGTGGTAGTGGTAGTGAATGGTTGAGAGGAGCATCCACTGAGGCCGGGAGTTGCGCGGGGAGGAGTATAAATGCAAGGTCAGTAAGGTAAGAAACTCCACCATCTCGTCCTGAGATAAGACTCCAACCAACGTCAACACCTGCAGCACTCACTAGTGATCCCCCCTCCACACGTTCAAGAGGAGTCGAGCAAACCAGGGGTGTTGACCATTAGTACTATACGGTACGGTACGGGCCTTAACAGCAGCGATACAGCGCCGCAGGGTCTCCGTCTCTAAGCTGCCAAGTAGCGCACTAGGGCAAGACCCCTGCCGCCATAAATTAGTTGCAGGTCAAAGGTAGCAGTGCTTTTATTACTCCGGTGAGCCAACCGCCTCTGGGAAAGATCGTCAATCGTCCATTAACGCTTTACCACAGATACAATCTCAGACTGGCTTCGGAGTACTCCGTGGTTCCTGATCGCAGAGACCCATGGTACATAAGCCTGTACCCACAGTAGTACTATATGAGTTCCAGCTGGTGTTCAATGTTGAGGTCCAGTCGAGGCTCAGATTACCCACCTGTGGGCTGATTTGATCATCTGCGAAGCTCTGTCTGACGGTTCCTGTCGTACTCCACGGTGGAGAACAAGATAGCGTAGGGGCAATTTTACCTAGTTAGTACTGAATGCAAAGCCTCTGACTTTAGGGGTAGTGGCTTTCAGAAGGTGGCTGTATAAAATCCTCTACCAGCCTGACGTGCTCATACCGCCTGTCCACCCCATCGTATTCTGTCCCCCGCGACCTCATGGCGACTTTAATTGTGTCCCTGGTTCTGACCCTTCTCGCCCGTGAGGTCCTCGGATTATCTCCGGTGCGTGTTTCCCACGAGTTGGGGCCTCACCTATCTCCATCAGCTTTAATTACTGGCGCAAACACAACCGCGTACCCGCGTTGGAGCGAGTTCGATGCCCCCAAGCCCGGAGTTGTGGTGACGGTGGCTACGGAACAGGATGTAGCCAAAACTGTACGTTCTCCTCCCTTTTCTCTTTTCTTTTTCTTCTTTTACCCCCTACTGTGATGTGATGGTTGTCCATATCTCACACCAAGCACTCAACAGGTGCACTACTGCACGTCCAATGACATTCCATTTCTGGCTCAAAATGGAGGACATGGGTGGGCAAATACATTCCACCTGGGGGTGGATGGACTTCTGATCAATCTGAAACAACTTAACACGATCGATTTCAACGATAACAAGACGGAAGTCACGGTTGGGGGAGGAGTTGAAATCTCGGAGGTGATTGCGGCAGCCTCCAAGAATGGTGCCCTCGTTCAGACTGGCAACTGTAACTGTGTTGGAGCCCTGGGTGCTACTTTAGGGGGCGGATACGGGAACCTCATCGGCCTTATGGGATTTGGAGTCGACAACGTCTTGTTGCTCAACGTGGTTATGGCAGATGGTCGCTTGCACACCGTTACGCCCAAGGATGGGGATCTCTGGTGGGCGATGCTCGGCGCTGGCCCTAACTTTGGCATTGTCACGTCTGCAAAATTGAAAGCGCACCCAGTCTCGCCCTCGGGCCAAACTGGCTGGTTCGGACAACTAATCTACACAGCAGACAAAGTCGAAGCTGTGGTGGAGGCCATCGACAACATCACCTTAAAGCCGAAGATGAATCTTTTTCTGTACTACATGAACAGTGGCTCTCCGGACTACACTCCTATGCTCGTCGTCACGCCATTCTACTACGGAACTGAGGCGGAAGGAAGGGCTGCATTCGCAACCTTCCTGGACATTGGCCCCGCGGAGGATACTACGACCGAACTTCAGTACCCGCACTGGAATGATGCGGCGGCGGGCTTCTGCACCAAGGGTGGGTATAAGCCAGCATATACTGTTGGTCTTGCTCGGATGAACCCCAGCACCTGGAAAGAGGTTTGGGACGAGTATGTCTCGTATATTGCGCGGAACGGCACCGGCAGCAGCCTGATTCTCATGGAAGCGTACTCTCTGGAGAAAGCTCGCTCTATACCGGAATCATCGACTGCCTTTGCATTAAGAAACAATGTCAACTTTAATGCGGTTGTCATCCCATGGTACTATGATACCAGCCTTCGTTCGGGCGCCGAGGCTTTCGGTTCCAAGATTCGTGACCTGTGGCGCTCTACTGATGAGCTCGACTACCCGGCTACGTACGTTCTTTTCTTCTTTGTCTTTCTCCCAACCTCAGACTAATTGAATTATACAGATACATCAACTTCGCACATGGTGATGAGGATTTGACCACGATCTATGGTGCGAATGTGGACCGGCTCAGGGCTATCAAGGCACGAGTGGATCCGGGAGACGTTTTCAATCAATGGTTCAATCTGTGAAAGCTGAGTGCTGTATCACACATGTATACTACTAACCAAGGTGGGTAAAGTGGACTTTATCGTGGCCTAGAAGAAAAACCTTTGGATAGATCGCATGTATTATCTGTCTGTACCTATTGAATCCCTTTCTATATATCTTCAATCGTCGAGGGAAATGCTGCGCCGGTAACATTTGGACCATTCCAATCCACTTATAGTGTCAATCCTCTACTACCACGGTATTACGCCCTGAGGGCCATGAACTCTGCCTGGCTGATCGTCCTTGTCTCCCTTCACGACTAAGGCGATCAATTGCGCCCCAACCTCCGGCTCTGCCGCGCCCATTCTGCGCAAGGCGTCCGCATCTCCAATGACATCAGTTGCGCAGAATCCCGGATCCGCACCTAGGACTCTAACGCTCTTCAGCTTCATATGGTACTGCACCAAGAGCATATTGAGTGCAGCTTTGGCTACGCGATACTCCGTGGCATGAGTGCCGCCATGTGGTGAGTTCGGATCGAGATTATATGTCATTGACCCATTGGAAGAGCTCACAAAGACCAACCGGGGGTTCGCAGACTTTAAAAGCAGAGGGAGCAGCGCTTCCGTCAAACTCGCTGCACCCGTGACATTGGTCTCAAGAGTCAGCTGCAGAGTATCGCGGACAGCTTCCCGGTTGAGGAGGTAAATGCCTGCATTATTCACGAGCACGTCCAGATGACCGAAGTCCGATTCGATACGTGCCTTTGCATCATCGACGGACTGATCGTCCGTCACGTCTAGCTGGACCGTTGACACGGTGCCATGGATGCCGGACAGGGAGCGGAGAGAAGCGGCGGCTGCATCGCCCTTCGAGCGGTCTCTGCTACCGATGATAATGTGGTAGCGGCCGGACAGAAGCAGGTTTTTAGCTGTTTCGTAGCCGAGACCCCGATTTGCACCTGGAATTTAGTGATGGTAAGTAATGTTCATGTACCCATGCCGATGTTATAGTAGAGCGGTATGGCCGTACCAGAGATGAGGACGATTGATTGGGATGTCATCGATATGGCTAGAGCGTCTTTCGCTGGAGTACACAAGTGTAACTGTCAGCCTTGAAATCAGTGAGCTCTCCCACCCAAGATATACCTGCGATCGGATGCTGTAGAGTATTTTCTCGGGGGGGGGGGGCCAAAGTCATAGCAATCGTCATTTGATAGTAGTCTCATCATATTTGCCCGTGTCCAAACCATCAAGAATCCCGCCGATCGAAAGGATTGGGGCCTATCATTGAGTCTGTTCGCGGCAGACTAACAGGGATGGTGAGATAGCCCTGAGTTAGTAGGCAATAACCATTCCTGTAGTAGTAGTGGCTTTGAAAATTAGGCCCCCCATCGACTCCCTCTTACTTCCTTGACAATCTGGCTTCCACCCTTCCGCGCGACCACAACCACAACCACAACCACACTAGCTATGGGGAAAACAGCATTAGAAGCGGATTACATTATTGTGGGTGGCGGACTGGCTGGATGCGCGGTCGCCTCACGCCTAAAGCAACGCAGCCCATCCCTCGACATTCTCATTCTCGAGGCGGCCAGTGACCCCTCCAGCAACCCCAACACACAATCCTTCCCGGGTCTCTTTTCGCTCCTTGGTTCTGATCTCGACTGGACCTATAGCACCGAGCCCCAGGCGAATACGGGCAATCGAGTGCACACTATCCATAGCGGGAAGGCCCTCGGAGGAGGAAGTGTAATTAATTTCGGTGGCTGGAGTCGCGGGGATGCGACGGACTATGATGACTGGGCCAGAATAGTCGGAGACCAGCGATGGAGCTACCATGGTTTACTTCCGTACTTTCGCAGGTCAGAGTCGTTCTTCGACTCTAAAGCTGACCCCAAGCAACACGGATTTGAGGGTCCTATTCATGTTACTTCTGTTTCTGCCAGTGACCCCAAAAGACGGTATCCTCTTCGGGAGCCAATCAAGGACGCTTGGAATGAGATTGGGGTTCAATATAACCCCGATGGTTGCTCTGGACGTTTGTCCGGGGTCTGTGAATTCCTAGAGACCTGGTACGATGGGAAGCGTCAAGCAGCACAACAAGCATACAGCTTGGAAGGTGTGCAGCTGGTTACGGAGGCTATTGTCCACCGAGTCGAATTTACGGGCGGCGACCAGAGTGGACAGAAGACTGCTTCCGCGGTACTTCTGTCGGATGGTCGGCGCTTCAATGCACGCAAGGAGGTCATCCTAGCAGCCGGTACTCTCCGGACACCCCAGGTCCTCATGTTATCAGGAATTGGACCAGCCAATGTACTATCCCAGCACGCGATTCCAACTATCATTGATGCGCCAGAGGTCGGAAAGAACCTAAATGATCACTTTGCGCTCTACCAACTATACAAGTTGCGCAATCCAGAGCGTGGGCTCGCCCTGGGTAGTCCTGTCCTCTCAGATCCCGCCTTTATGAAGGGCTTTCCGGCAGACTGGGCTATTAACCAGGACGTACCAGCGGATATTTTGGGGGCAGCAGTGCGTAATGACAACGCGAGATTCGGCTCCCCCGCAGACGAATCTTTCCTGAAACCCGGTCGGCCGCTCGTCGAGACTTTAATTGTCTATGCTCCGGCTGGTGTACCCGGAGTTCCTATGGATGGCAGCTTCATCATGACCTCAGTCATGTTACTCGCTTCAACATCCCGAGGAGCCGTTAGTATTCGGTCGTCATCGCCTACGGACCCTCCTCTGGTCGACTCAAATTACTTTGACACGGAAGCTGATCGTGTTACATTGATCCACGGCAGTCGACGCACAATGCAGGCTTTGCTGGACACTTCTGCCTTAGCAGATTATATCGAGGCTGAAGTGCCTCCCCCTGGAATGTCAGCTTTATCATCTCAGTCGTCGAACGATGAATTCGAGGCCCGGATCCGGGCGACTGGTCTGGCTCACCATCATCCAGCAGGTACAGCCGCCATGGGCAAGGTAGTTGGTCCAGACCTCCGTGTCTTCGGCGTCCATAATCTTCGTGTCGTCGATGCAAGTATACTGCCGCTAAGTATCGGTGGCCACCCGCAGGCCACTCTTTATGCAGTTGCCGAGCAGGCTGCAGACATTATTCTCGGGACCAACGCTCAGGCATGATCACTCTTCATGCAGTGATCAATAGGTTGATTTGATGGCTTCTTTATCTGTGTACATCCAAATGATCATTGCTTATTCCTCGACTTCCGGTTACATAGAGTCCTCAGTCAAGCGCTCTCGCTTCAACAAAGGCATCATGTATAGACAGTGTTATAGATAAATCCATGTCTATAAATCTAGAAGATAGTCTTATCACTAAACCATCACGGTCTCACCCATATCCATCCAATCGAGTGTAAAACCATAATCACTATTGTGACTGCATGACAGACAAGGTATCACCTCTTAGCCCACATGTACATACGAGTATCTGCAGGCCAGATAATCGCACCTAGCTAGCAATTTCGGCGGTAGTGGCGGAATTATCTCAGATGATGCTCCTTCGCCTAGTAGCACGGGGCATTGATGGCATAGCAGGGTACATATATTAAGCCACCAATCAGGTATCTACCTGACTCGGTAGGGAGGTGTGCATTACTCGTGTATACACCTGCACGGAGCTACGGCCAGAGTGCGTACGTATGCTAATATTTACCTACCTAGTCATTGGCGTAACTGAAGGCTTAACTCGTGCACTATAGGATCCTGGCTACATACCAGCAGGTGGCACACAGGCAATCAAACACCGTGCGACATACAGATACCACCCTGTAATACGAACGGTTTCTGCGTATCACTGCCTCAACGGTAAAGGTACAGATCAAGCTAGGGTTTGAGCCTAATTAACTCGATGGGCGATCCCGCTTCCCCGTCGGCGATCGACACCCGCGTCACCACGCCACACGTGAAATTACTATGAGATGTGTACCAGTAGTATACATTGAGTTCATGATCCCGGTTGAGAAGCAATGGGGCCCACGAGCTCGGAGTACTCAGCGATGATAGAGCGTTGAAACCTAAACCCAATGTTCCTTCACATACATTGTCCCCCGAATTGCAAGGATCTACATGAAACCATGGCCACCACAATCCATCGCACTCAAGTCCAATTCCTTTTTCATTCCATTTCTGTGTCTTGGAAGGCAGGCTCGTTACTTTTTATCCGGTTGACAAGTGCTCCAGTATGACCTCCTATTGCGAACTACGTTTCTCCGACCAGCTGTTGCGGACGAAGTCGTCTGCGTCTTCGCTGCGCTTTTCTGACCAACTGTTGCGGACGAGATCATCGGCGTCGATGACAGCTTGATTTCGGGATAGTACTAGTCAGCTCACAAACCCTGTACGAGTTATATCAGGGATAAGATATGGCAGTACCGTTCTGAGTAGGGAAGGCTGTGGTTGCGCCCAGAACGAGCATAAGGAGGGATATGTATGTGGTGGTTCGCATTGTTTCTTTGCTGTGGCTTGGTTTCGTGTCTGTTGTTTGATTGGGATAGAGTTCTACTGCGTGCTTTTACCTGAGGACCCGGAGTTATATATATACACTGCGTGCGGTGAGAAGACTTAAATGCCCGAGCTCAACTCATGAGGGTAACACAGTGAGCACGTACACCGAAGCAGAATAATCCATTCGGACGATCGATTGCAGATCTATTGTGCTGTTCTGGTGTATTGCGGTTGATACTAATTGGCTACGGCCAATTCTTCGAGTGCTTACACGCAATGCCTCGTTCTCGGTGAGCGTTTCCCTGCATACAGACATATATGGAATGTGAATACGAGTCTCTGGGTGGGTGGTGTCAAGCACCAGGATTGCTCTGCAATATTACAGCATTGACTTTCTCGATCACCGGTCTGTTTCCCAGGTTAGGATAAAAGCTTAGCGCCAACAGTTCCTCCAATCATATGAGCTTGGTAGTTCAGGATCAAATGTACGGTCTTCTGGATTGTCTAACAGAGCCCGCTAGTCGTCCCTGCGTCTGTTTAGGCAAAATCCTTCGCAATGTAACATCTCGTGTCTCTCGTGAGGGGTTCTCCAGCGCATGTCGATCCCTTGGGCAGTGTAACAGGTTATGACATGTATTGTATTGCTCGATACAGGTCTACAGATGTGTATCTCAGCGTTAGCTATACTCAAACTATGGAATCTACTCCGCATGTTCCTCCACAGTCGACAAACCGATTGCTTCTCAGACCATGACACCATCCTTCCCCCAAAGAAAGGCACCACATCAACTATTATCTCCACCCGATGGGATCAGAGGACTCCAGCCCAATCCTTAGGAAAGCCTCGCCAGCTTACACCAGAACCGGGGCAGTAATCGTCCAAGTGATAGTGACATTCACAATAGCTCTCACATTGGGTCTGATCATCGGCCAGAGACTGTCGGTCAACAAGTGGGATGGACTTATACGTGAGAAGCCCACTCTCCCTCCGCAGCTCAAGCATATATTGAGACCATCTCGTCTTGTCAGTACCCCAGGGCACAATCAAAACAGTCTGGGAGCATAACCTCACCTTTTCCCAACGTCCACGCCCGAGTCTGAAGCAGCGTGGAGTTCCATAATCCCAGGTATTCCAAACCCGCACTTCCAGGGCTTCAAGAAACTCGCTAATAATCAATACGGACAACCAGTCGGACGGGGTTTCATCCACCATCCTGAAATCGCACCGTTCATCTCCAACATCGCTGTCTTTCACCAATTGCATTGCTTGGTGAGTTGCTTTCCTGCTTCCCTCTGTGTTATTAGGTGGTTCTGCTAATAGGGTATCTCGGTTCCATAGCACGCTATTCTAGTCGCCTACTATGCCGCCGTTGAGGAGTCCGATGTAGCGAAGGGGGCGCAGCGCCTGGACGAGTACCTCCAACAGACGGGAACGAGAATGGCCCCGTCACATATCCGGCATTGCTTCGATTACCTGCGACAAACGTTGATGTGTGCGGTGGATACGAATCTAGAGGTGCTTGACCCTGAAACGCATACAACGAGTGGATGGGGGCAGAGCCGGCAGTGTCGAGACTATGAGGAGGTCGTAAAGTGGGCGGAGAAGTGGGCGAACTCGACGGATACGGGGATTGTTACCTGATTAATATCGCATAATGAATTATGAATGTATATCGACCTGTGGAAATGCATATATATATATATGCCCGTATTTTCAAAGGAGAAGCTGGTTTTAGACGTAACAGAGCCGCAATCATATCATTTAATTTCTGTCCAACAACCCGACTAGATCTACTGCACCAACATCTCATAGTCACTCATATCCACCATCCTTGATCGTGCCCACTGGTCCAACGCCTCCCAGTTCACACACTCGTGATCACTGTACACCCGCGAATACGGTAGCCCGTCGACCCAGCGGAAGGTCGCCAGGGTCGTATCGCCTCGACACATGGCTGCTTCGCGCCAGTACTCGAGACAGTGGTCGATGTGGGCCTCCTCGCGGATACGGTCATCTTCCGTCATATTGGGGTAGTACCGGTCGAGGTGGAAGTGGCGACGGATGCGTTTCTAAAAGGTGGGTGTTAGCTGTAGTTTCCAATAGGCTGTGGATGGATGGATGGCGCACGATGCAGTGGATTTCGTGGTATACGGCTAATTCTGAGATGTATCCGGATCCATCCTTGAAGGGGATGCTTGGGTCTGGGAGGTGGGAGAGCTCTTCGGAGGAGATTTTGATTGTCATGGCTGGCTTTGAGGTCAGTGGTTGTAGGTAGAATGGATAGAACAGGGCGTACGCTCGAGGAGATGTTTCCATGCTGCGTCAAATTCGGGACGGGGATCGCCTGTGAAGACGTTGTTTTCGATATCTCGCTTGAGACGTCGCTGTTCGTAGGATATGACATGTTTTGCGGGGGCTGTGGGATGGGTCAGGCATCTGTGGTATACAAGTTGTGCTGGACTTCCATGTTCAAGGGGGGGATTACATACAGTAGGATAGTTTTGGTCGCACGCAGATCTCGCTCAATACAGTAGCCCGCCACCAGAGGCCGAAAAGCACAATGTTTGACAGCAGTAAGAGGGAGTAGAGAGTATAGTGGCAGTAAATGGACCGTCCATGCTGTCTATGGGGGGCCCGCAGCTGCTCACCAGAGGTTCGGGACTCTTCTATATCGGACGAGGCTACAGGGGAATAATCGTGCTTGGTGGTGGCCATGATGGCGTCTTGCTCTCCAAATCATATGTCCGAGGGGATGGTGGTTGTTATTACTATATCCACCTCTGCTCTGGCACACACTGCTTCAATCTTACACAGTATTGACAATACCACCAAGGATCAGCCGTGGGAAGAAGATACGAGCGGAGCACCCGCCGGGGCTTCTGCAGAGCTAAAGCATCGTCACACGTCGGCTCTTGCAGAGTGCGATCGTCGATCAGCCAGATTATCCGGTTTTACCAATACAGAACTTGATAGCTCGGTGTAGTCGTTGCTTATGAGGTCCGTCGTGTAAGTCATCCAAGCTTCTACCCCCACCTTCCCCGAATATCAGGACTCTTTGGAAATAATTCGCGATGAAGGTGACTGCTTCAGTTGCGTACTTGAGACGCTGCCATTCCCGCCGCTTATCAGCTCTGTATCGTACTCGCAGACACTTCAGCACCACAACAACCCATCTCAACAAGGATGACGATTCCGCCAATGTATGGAAGCTGACCCAAGAAGACGTCTCCCACTACTGGAGAGGCTACCTTGCTACACGCCCCAAATATACAGACACATTCTACAACCTGATCTACAACTACCATGCCTCACACCCAGATTCGAAACCGCCCTCATTCTCCATCGCCCACGATGTTGGCGCCGGACCGGGTCAAGTCTCCGCGAAACTCGCCCAGAGATTCTCCCATGTTGTCGTAAGCGACAATAACGAGAACCACGTCAACTATGCCAAGAACTTCCTGTCAAGCACCAGCGTGCCAGCATCCCGATTCTCCTTTGACGTTGAAAAAGGGGAAAACCTGGGCTCTAAGTACCTGCTCGCCTCTGCTGACCTGGTCGTCAGTGCGCTCATGTTCCCGCTCATGGATACCATGTCTGCGCTGCGCAGCTTTCATGCCCTGTTAAAGCCTGGTGGAACGCTCGCTATCTGGTTTTATGGACGTGCGCACTTCGCTGAGCTCGAGTATGCGGGGCTTTGTCAACCACTCTTAGACGGGATAATCAATCATCATTTCTCGGGCGTGATTGCCGGAGGGGGCCCGGAGCACAATGCAGGATGGAAGCATGTAGCAGATGGCATAGCCAGTTGGTTGGATTATATCCCCTTTGCGAAGGAGGACTGGGGGTCTGTCGAGCGACATAAATGGAATGCGAAATGGACTAGTCTGGGGTTCTTTGGTAACGAGGCATGCAATTTTGCCGTGGAGCCGAGAAGTAGTGTCACAGATACGGAGGTGGTGATCGAGAGGGACGATAGGAATCTCTGGAGGAAGGATTGGGATGTGGGTCAACTTCGTGAGTTCGTTCGGTATATATACCTTTTCAGGGGATGGAGGAGGAATCGGTGAAGCCGTTGTGGGCGCGGCTGGAGAGAGAAATGGGTGGGTTGCACGCCAGGCGGGCATTTTCGTGGCCGGTGGTTTTGATTTTGGCGACGAGGAAGTGATAGGGAACTTGGCTGGCACAGACTGTAGCATGGGTAGATGGTGTTTCTTCCATACTTCCTTGAATGGCTTGAAATACGTATCTTTAGTAACTTAGAAATTACACCGACTAGCCTGAGGCAAGCCCATGACCAGTCCAAATGTGGCGATCTCATAGAGTCATAACCACCACTAGTATTATTTATTCACTGAGTCACTGCTACAACCGAAAAAGAAACATCCCACAGCTATAAATACCCTTCGACTCCCAAGTTCACGAGAAGCACCGCATAGGCAACCACAAGGGATATCTCCCTTCCATTGCCTGTCTTCATGACAAGCATGTTACGCAAACCCTAAAGGACACGGTGAAAACAAACAACAAGCATCCGCCAGAATCTGGCTATCTGGGTGACCATAAAGCTGTTCCCAACCATTTCATTCTTTTCGCTTGTCCTGATGATGAACGCTGAACATGGATCTGCATCCTGAAAGGCCATGAAAAGAAAAGGGAAAGACAATGTCACCTGTGACATGAAGCTGAGTGTAGATGCCACCTCGGATTCAGAATCATGTTTATCACTCGTGATTGAAGCGGTATAATCACATGCCTTGATGATGACTGTGATGCCCCGGCGCTCTAAAGTCCCGGGCTATTGAGAGGTGCCCTGTCTATATCATGTGCCCCTCTTCAAATCGTGACAGGACTCTCTTGTCTAAATGATGATGTTATCCCGATGCTCTGTGGGTCAGGACAGGCGTACTGAAAGACTATCCCGTCCACTGATATGTTTGCCGCACCAACATCACAATGGATTTGACTGTTATTCGTTTGTATAGTGGACTGCCTCTAAGGGGTAAAAAGAAAGGAGAGGAGCAAATCCACGAGTAGACTCTCGGACTTGGGAATACCTGGTTTATGTTGTTGATATTCTCCATTGAAGAGCTCGTGATACTGCTAATCACTCCTGATCCAGTTTCATACTTGAGACAGCCTTTGCGCAGTGGTGATTACTGATTATATAGGAAACCCCGATCTGAAAATGACGAGGTGATGGTGGTTTGGGAATGCTGGCCATTTTTGTTTGCCGACAAGAGGGGGTGTCATGAACTATGAACGATCGACTGGCGCTTTTTGGGTAGGTATTCAAGGATTCTATCATGATACATGGATATATTAGTGATGACTGGGCTGAGTACATTGGAACATCTTGTTTTTGATAGATAAATAAGAATATTATGTCTTTATTCTTTACTCGCCCTATATCTCTTTACTCAGCTTGGCTTGCGGATCCGTTGAAATTTTATAGACCTTTTACCTACACAGTTCGCGGAAAGACAAAAAGGAAAAATGGAAGATTTCGAAAACTATCATACACCCCTTGAAGATAGACGTTACGGTCGATCTAAAGTCTGCTTTGTATAGAAATATAAATACTAAATTGGTAGGCATTCTGATAGCCATATCAACACAAAATAAACGCCGTACTTAATGTCAAAACCAATTCCCTGTTCCGCTGGCATTTCCATCGTCATTATCATAAATCGTAATTGGCTCCGAGGCCGTCCCGGAGTCCTTCCACTCGATACACATGGCTCACACATTGACTGTGGTGTAGAAAGTATTCTGCAAAGGTAGCCGCTGATACCCCCTAACACTAAGACGTATACAGTTTCAGGGTCACTGGCGTGTCACTTTGGTCGCGCACATACCACGCTTCGAATTATTCCCGCTGGTCTCATTTGGCATATGAGCGTAACTGTGTGTCTTTTGGCGGAGAGTACCGTGGTAGCGTAGCACCGTGGCATGGCTGCGACCAAGCAAATTCTGTCTCTCGCCTAAGCCCCATCATTCTTTCTTGAACGGCACGTTGCAACGTTGAATTTCTTTCCTTCTCCTCTTGAGGAGACAGAAAGTAGGGAAGCCCGTTACAGTCCACTACGACGGAGCCGCTCACGGAGTTGTAGCCTGGAAGCGCGCTATTCATGGCGGCTGTATTGCTGTTGGGGAGCACCATGGGCCTCCACTTAGACGATCGTCTCGACAGTCGATTATTGTAAGAAGACAGTCGTTGATAGCTGTGAGAGGGCGCCGGCGGGTCGATATTTTGCCAATAGAACGACGGCTCTTGGGATGACGAGCTAGACACGGGCTCCAACCGTGCTTGGTGTTCTTTTGTCGGTTGGGCGGCGTTGGGTATGTGTCGCTTTCGTGTTGTTGGACCAGTAACAAATTCTCCGTCGGTAGGATAATAGGTGTGGGTGTCCACCGATCTTGCTTCAGTTGCAGGTGATGACGACGAGGAGAGCCGCGACCTCAGATGGCGGAAGATAGGCATTGGGGGCTGTTGCACTAGTGATATACACTGCCAAAACAGGATACAACTGAGGCCAAATACCTGCTTTTGAGCCTAACGATCAAAGTAAATTCCAAAGAGGGGGGTTAGTGAGAGGGGATGAAGAGTGCGAACGGTCGACTTGCTTTTTACAAGCGTTAGTCTGGTAGTGCGTGATTGCCAATTATCGCTACCCCGAATGCAAGACACGCTTAATCCTTGTCAAGAGCAATTCACCGGGAAGCCAAGAATGTGAGAGGGCAGATTCCAGAAGCTGGTTTTAGCACATTGCGTTCAGAGTGTAGAGTTTAATAGATTCGGCGGATACACGTAGAACCGTTATCGGAGCGACAGACAAATCAGGGTTGTTCTTGATGCGCCTCGCTGATGTGATTTATGATAGGAGATCTCCGGGTGTCCTAAATTAGAAATGGGTCAGAGCGGCAACACGATGCAAGATGGCTTTCTCGCCGTATATTATCCGGTGGCTGTCAGCCTGATAGAAGAGGCCATTGTGATAGGTCGGTTGGAGATCGTACTACTACTAGTAGTAGTAGAGCGTTAGGGCTAATGCAGGGTATGGTGTCATTGTGCATCACCATCTCAACTTTCACCGCTCCTGCTTTTCATTAGCAAACAACCACAGCAACAACAGAAATCATAAGCGACAGGGCTAGAAAGAAATCCTTTGCTTATTAGGACCGGTATCAATGGTGACAGCAGATTCTTTCTGGTATGCTAAGCGGGGCTGAGGGAGTAAAGAAATGAAAATGTAAAGACAAATCTAATAGGATAAACAAAATCTGCCCAATTTTAGCCGCATACGAGAAATCGCCAACCGATTTCCACAAAGGCAGATTCCCACTTGCCCGACACAGTTGGGCTCCTAAAGTCAATTATCATCGGATCCATCACACCACTGCTCTCTCAGTGACTGAATTGATTGGGACACGTCCCAGCCAGTCCTTGTCTCCACGTCTCTTAGCAGATTTTCGGCGGCTTCCTGGTCTTGCCTGTGCCGGAGTATCCATCCCCCTACAAATAGATGGTTATATTAGAAGGCAACCACGTGAAAGGCAAGAGACAACAGCAACAACGTGTAACCACCGTGGTTATACTGCTGGCCACGAAGATCGCGTAGAACTCACATGAAACTAGACTATGCCGCGCAGTGAAAAGAGTGTTTTCGGCCCGTGGATTAGACTTTGCTAAGCCAAGGACGGTAAGAAGGTGGCCTCGAACGATTTTCTAGTCAAGGATATCAGTCACTATATCATTCTTCCACGGCGGGAGACAGATTCAGAAAGTTTAACCTCTGTATTGCGCGATTGCTTGAAGCTCTCGTATGCCAGAGACGGGTTCGGACGATAGGATAATGCAAGTATGATTTGAGCGATATGATAATACTGAACGCCAACCACTACGACACATATGTCAGTTGGTAGGACTAGCGAAAACTTGAGTTGGGGACCGACCGTGGACGGGCAGCAGCATCCAGACTCCTGGAAATCTTCTATGTACCTCACTGCTACGAGGGACATATTGGATGGGCTGGAATGTGGACGGCTTTCTGGTATTCCATTTCTCAATCTCCTTACCAATGTCTTCTAGTATCGAATGATTGACAGTGCGATCGTAATTGAATGCGTGTTTGAGAACCTTGGCTAGAAGAAATACCATCCGACTCGCCCAAGCAAAATCGTCCTCCCGGCTGAAGACATTCGAATTGCTGAAACGATGCAAATCCGTCTGTAATGGTCGTTGCGAAATGAGTGATATGTAAATGTCCTCGCGCAGGCATAACCAAGCTGCTGCCTCACCAAGGCCTCCGCTTGATCCGAACGATGATATCGTATTCAAGATCTGGGTTGTGCCTGTCAAATGGAACTGATGGTCCTCACCTAGTTCTGGTAAGCCTGGAGCAGATGTTTGTGTTACGTTTTGAGCCTACAGTCCATTTCCTCATGCTGCCGGAGAATCGCGACTGCAGCAAGAACCGTATCTGTGATACTATCTCTGGGGCCAGACAGAACGGGAATAAGAAGCTGTAGGCAGTGGTTATGGTATTGTAGGGCTTCAGATATGTCTTTTTGTCTCTGTCTATCTATATGTCGAGAAGAGAACGCAAAGATTGCATAACGTAATACTGGTTCCTCAAGTGCTCTCAGTGGAACTTCGATCTCAAAATGTCGTTGGGGATCGGTTATATCGGCCTTGTGATTTATCAGCGCCTTCTCAGTGTTTTCAACAAACGTGTTTCAATTAGTGATTCACTCACCCAAAGAGCCATATTGTCGACATAGTTGCGTATAAGTGCGGCCTCCCTCTCACTAAAAGAGGCATTCTGAGCATCGGTGGCTCTGTTCTCATGCAGATTCCTATTTGGTGATGAAGGCAAACTAGACCCATGATCATTTCCAAGATACAATGGTACTCCTGGGGTTTGAGAAGCTGCCCCGTTACCGAACACATGGTTAGTTGAGATGTGCCAAACTAGAACATCAAGACACAATACGACGAATAGAATATCCTCACTGTAGATATGTGGTATGGATGGACTTATAGATGATCGAGGTCCTGAGCCAGACTCCGACACCGACAGTTCAAGTTGATCAGGACTCGTATATAGCCCAACTGGGGCTCCGAAACTGGAATCGTGCAAAGAGTCCAAGGGGCCATGCGGGTGAAAGGAGTTATCCAAGTTACCAATACAATATAGCTCTTTGGTGGCGATAGTTTCATCGTGGAATTGAACTTGAACATGGTTAATTAAGATTTCTCACATGACATTGGCCAACGTGTATTGCTCACAGGGCCCTATTGGATGTGGCCAAATGCCTCTTTCTGGAAATACAACGTCGTGGTCATTGTTCAGATCTAAGCCTTCACGGAACCTCACATTAAAGCTTCTATCGCAATCGACTCCAGCGTGTTTGCAGTGGTAGCAGACAGGGGAATGGGTGTCGCCTAGAAAACGAGTAAAACATTGAGCTGATGATGAGGGTGGATCATACATACATTTGAGATGCCGAGCTGGGAAAAATTCTAGGTTAGCTTTGCTATACCCACAGACCTATGAGATGGCCACACTTCATCCTACCTCTACATCTCCGACTAAGACAACGGTTAGCTTTAATGTAAGTATGTATTAGTAGTATGGTTCTTGCAGAAAGGAGAAGCAGGAGGAGCTCTTATTGGATAATTAGTACCAGCCACTGACTAGACGACTCCTCTTTTCTCGGATTGGAGTCATAACGATGCAAAGGGGAATGAGACACGGAGAGAATTTCCAGGAAGTGAATTCCAGTTGATGGATTTCTCCACATTCACGTAACCCCGCATGGGGTTTTGGGATCGGCGGCGTGGATGCCTGAGGTGTCAATGGCCCCATTGGGATGAAAGGGAAAGTATCTCCATCTCATGCAAGGGAAGGCAACTCTTTCCGTTCCCCACATACCAAATAGTATACGCTCAGTTTCAGGATATGAAATTAAAACTGCAGGGAGCTTTGACAACCAACGGCATACCGACCAGACATACTGTGGGTCTTCTCCAACATAGCAAAGATGCATAGCAAACGGATATTCTTGCCTCACACCAAAAAGGTCCAGTTTTCTATTTTGCGATCTCCATGTATTCCAGTGTATATAAGGCGCGCAAAGGTGCTCCTCGAGTCACAATAACCAGCTCAGAAATTCCTTTCACCACATCTCTCTCCTCCATCTTATCGCATAACCTCTTTCTTCTGCTTGTATACTGGTTGTGATTTCCATATAAAACGCCGCCTTGCAAGATGTCCGTCCACAAGCTCAAAGTCGGTATGGCTGGTCTTGGCCGTGTTGGCAAGATCCATGTCATTAATCTTTTGCATCACACTCCTCGTGCTGAGCTCGTGGCAGCTTTCTCTCCTGACCCTGCAGAGATTGCCTGGGGCAGACAGAACCTGGAGCCATATGGTGTGACTCTGTATGATAACTACGACAAGATGCTCGAGCATCCCGGCCTAGCGGCAGTAACCATTGGCACAGCGACATCTGTTCATGCCGAGCAGACTATTAAAGCCATTGACCGTGACCTCCACGTCCTCTGTGAGAAGCCACTATCAACAGATATTGAAGTGGTAAGTTTAGATCTGTAACGTTTGTTTCCAGCCTTGTACTGCACATATGTTAACGGCTTTCACAGTGCAAAGCGGTAGTGCAGAAAGCAAAGACTAAGCCTCATCTCAAAGTCATGTGTGGTTTTTCTCGCCGATTCGATGAGTCTTACCGCGAGGTCCATGACAAAATCAGTCAAGGCCTTATTGGTCGACCTTCTATCATTCGAAGCCAGACATGTGACAAGTTTGACCCCTCGGGCTTTTATGTTGCATATGCAGCATGGTCTGGAGGCGTCTTCGTTGATATGTCTGTCCATGACATCGATCTCACCTTGTGGTTCTTCGGTGACGACTCGGTCCCTAAGAGCATTTCCGCCCACGGAATTACAGCTGTCCAGCCGGAGCTGAAGAAGTACAACGACTATGACAATGCAGTAGGAATTGTCGAGTTTCACAACGGCAAAATCGCCTATTACTATTGCTCCCGTATGATGGCACACGGCCAAGAAGACACGACAGAGGTCATTGGCACCGAGGGTAAATTATCTGTCAACACCAACCCTCAGCGCAACTTTGTCAACTTCTATCACTCCGGAGGCATCACACGAGAAGTTCCTAGCAACTTCATCGGCCGATTCGGTGCTGCTTTCGTTAAGGAGGCAAATGAGTTCACTGCTGCTTGTCTGGACAACACGCCTCTTCCGATTAAATTGACCAACGCAGTCAAGGCTGTGGAAATCGGTGCCTACCTTCAGGAAGCCCTAGTAACTGGGAAACAAATTCACTTCGATGAGATTGGAAGGAGGATTGAGAAGCCTATGCTGTAAAGGCGGGGGTTGAATAAATTCACTATAGAGGACTGTTCGTTTTTTTTCTTTTTAATAAGAAGCAATCTCCATAGAATGAATGTCACTTTCTCAGAATGCCGAGTTTTATTATTGAAACCACCAGCATCTAAATGAATACAACTGGTTGAGAGCAATTTAGTTCGAACTGTCAGCAGTTCCTGATGAGAATAGCGCCAGGTCAAATCGCACTTGTACCTCGCAATCCGCTCGAGCACCTCACTTCGTAATGCCTCAAATAGTACCTTGACTTCTATATGTGCGTAGTACTAGTATTTATGAGCTAGAGCTTCAAGTTTGTATCGCTAGACTCCTGTCAACGTACCCCGCATTCTTAGGCTGTCTTGGCGATCGATCGAATAAATCATTAATGTATTAGAGTTCATGGTCATATTTGTCCACTGTACTAAGAACAGTCGAATGAACAGACCTCCACTACTGCTCTGTCACAGAGATCGGCATGTCCATCAGCCCACCAGCCGTTCCGATGCATGACGAATCACCCCAATGACGAAACTGATCGACGAGCACGCCAACGGCCGCGTGGATAAATGTGATCTGGGCTCTTGTGTTTCACGAATAATGCGCCTGGAGTTCCTCCGGCCGACCATATATCCAGCAGTCTTATTCGCCCAGCTAACCGCCGAGTCACTACACCTATATTTCTGTTTCTATAATTGTCAGATTGACTAGAAATTTCTCAAAGCTTCCAGTCATCATGTATCTTGATTTTCGAGATCGCCTAGGGATTGGCACCCTTTTCACGGCGGTTATCTCTATGCTTTCGCGCGAGCAAGGCTCCATAATTTATCGACCAGCCCTCCCTCCATCCTACCCCTTGGCAGTCCGCAACCCATATCTCTCGACATGGATGCCTAGCGATCAGGTCAAGACTCTGCCGTATGCAGAGCCTCAGTTTTGGACCGGACAGAGTCTCTCCTGGTCGGTGATGGCGCGGGTTGACGGGGAGACGTACAGCTTGATGAACGGGAAGAATGCAGGTGATGATATTTTCCCGGCTGTCGTTTCTAGTGCAGAATATACTTCTACCCATTCAATATTTACTCTATCTGCTGGCCCGGCGACTTTCACCCTTGATTTCTTTTCACCTGTGTCGCCTTCCAATCATCTCCGACAGTCTCTTCCGTTCAGTAAGATATACTATTTATGATCCATGATAACCATGTCGATAGCTGATATGGGTGTTTGTAGGCTATCTAACAGTGTCTATATCGAAGGCTGCTGCCAACAGCATTCAGATTTATTCGAGCATTGACGACCGATGGGTAGGAAAGCAAGAAAACTCCAACCAAAACTTCCAGAAGAAAGACACTACCGCTATCTTCTCTCTTGGGGTTAATAATTCTGTCCTGTATGAAGAGCGTAACGACATGGCAACATGGGGTGAGGCTATATTTGCGTCTCGTCCAATGCCCATTTCCAATCTTTCCTTTGCCTCGGGAACGCGCGAGAACGTACGCTCCAGCTTTATCAGAACAGGGAAGCTGGATGGCAACGATCATTGGCTTCCTGGGGGAATTGTAGCTCTATCTCATGATTTAGGAATAGTTACGAGCAGCCAATCTGTCACATTTGCTGTTGGTTATGTGAGAGAGGAAGCGGTCGATTATCTCGGGACGCCATATACGGGATATTATAGGGCCAACTACCCAGGGACGCCTGAGGCAGTCGCCTACTTTCTGGATGATTATCAGGATGCTCTCCAGGAATCGCTGAGGTTTGACTTAGAGCTGTCTACTAAAGCCAAAGCAATCGCAGGCCAGAAGTATGCGGACATTGTTGCCCTATCGACCCGTCAGGCTTATGGCGCTATTGATCTGACTATTCCTAATGAATCACTTGATATCGATGATACCCTGGCGTTTGTGAAAGAGATATCTAGCGACGGCAATCTCAATACTGTTGATGTTATTATGCCTGCCTTCCCCCTATACTACGCCATGAATCCTGACTACATACGATTATTGCTAGAGCCTATGATGAGGTACCTTGCAGCGGGGCGCTGGCGAGAGCCATATGTAATTCATGACATGGGCTCCCATTACCCCAATGCTACTGGTCATGACAGCCAACAAGCCGAGCCAATGCCAATTGAGGAATGCGGTAACTTGATGGTTCTAGCACTAGCATATGTACGCGCAACCGGCGATAGAGCATGGGTGGCCAAGTACCAAGATATCATGAGACCCTACGCGGACTATCTGGTTGACAATGGTGTTGACATTGCGGAGCAGCTATCTTCCAACGATGCTGCAGGGCCTCTTGCTAATGAAACGAACCTAGCCATTAAGGCCGCAGTGGGAATCAAGGCATTCGGTCAATTGACTGGGCGTATTGAGTACTCCCGTATTGGCAAGGAGCGTGCAGACCTCTTCTTCAACCAGCGGCTTGGAACCGATAGACAAAAGACACACTTCGTGCTACAATACCCGGACAAACCAGCCTCCTGGAAAATCCCATATAATTTATATCCAGACGTACTGCTTGACCTTGGCACTTTTCCTCCAGAGGTTCATCACATGTCGAGCACGTTTTTCAAGTCGGTCCGAGGAGAGTATGGAGTTCCTCTTGATAGCCGTCAAGACTGGGCGAAATCCGATTGGAATATCTGGCTAGCTGCCACTTTCGACTTGGACACCCGGGACGAGTTTGTTGAAGACCTGTGGACGTTTATGACCAACGGAAAGCATAATTGGCCTTTCTCTGATCGTTATGTTGCCACATCAGCTAAAGGGGCAAGTCCCGGTGTGCCCATCTTGTGTCGTGCTCGGCCGACAGTGGGTGGACATTTTGCGCTGATGGCCTTGAATGGGCCCAGATCACTTTGGAGCACTGTGCCTGGCGCTATGGAATCACCCAACACCATGGATGACGAGGGCCTTGAGACGCAAAGAGAAGAGTTGTGAGTTGGTGGAGCCACTTGTCAATACAGTGTCGAGTGTGATTCTGAACTGACAATTGATCTGCCATGAGAATAACACTATGAGCACTATGCTAGTACTTAACTACAACTCCTCCTCTGGGAACAGTGAATAAATAGTATAGGGACGGTAGTCAATCATTGAAAGTAAAGATACATATGTTGTATTGCTGCCAAGTCAGGGCTCGTTGCCATAACTCAGCTACGGGACACTTAATCCTTTTGGAAACCCATTTGTTAAACCAATTGGCCACGGGCGACCCCTTGCACTGATGCGTTGCTGAAGTTAGTATGAATTTTCAGGCACCAAGGAAGCAACGACCCCCTGTAGATTACATAAGCGATTGCGGCCTCAGGTTGTTGTGTCCCGTTAGGTCAGTGACACTCTTCCCCAAGAGTTTCGCTACATCCAAACTGCTTCGCCGCTGTGTTTAGCTTTCCTTCTCCCTGTTTATTTGTCGTCCTGTCTTTTGCTTCTTCTTTCTCTCCCTCCCTTTTCGCTTCATCGCCGCCTATAAGCCTTCGTCTCTCATATTCCGCCCCTTGATCAGATCCTACTCATGGCTTCTGTATGTATTCCCTCTGTTTGACTTCTCCGCCATTTGCTCTCCCGTGCAGATAGCTGGCCAACGTCATGGCTCGCCCACTACGCGTTTGTACGCGCCAGCAGAACAAGCATGCCTACTGACACCTCCGTGCTCCTCTTCTAGCCCCGTCCTCCGCACAACTTCGGTCCGCAAGGCTATCCTCTCCCCAACGGTGCTACTGGTCCCGTACCTGGCGCCACCCCTCTTCTGCCAAACAACGGCCGAGTCATTCAGAACGGCCCCGTCAGAGTCCTGTGCATCGCGGATGTTCGAGGTAGGTTTCTCTAGCATACGCCCATGGAGACATGGTGGTAGAGATGCGCTTGACTAACTGGTGTTTCTTTTTTCCGTTTGTGTTACGCAGGTAATTTGAAGTCTCTGAATGAGCTGGCCAAACAGGCCCGTGCAGATCATATCATCCACACCGGTGATTTTGGTTTCTATGATGACACATCGTTGGATCGGATCGCCGAAAAGTGAGTAATGCACTTGATATTTGAGCTTATCTACGGATCAGATTACGTTGGGGCTCCAAGTGTCCGAAATTGAATTCACTGACGGCTGGGTATCCAAATTTAGGACCCTTAAGCATGTGGCCCAATACTCTCCACTGCTTCCTGAAAATGTGAAGCGGGCCATCGCACAAACTCCTCCCCAGCAATCCATTAAGCAACGATTCTCCCCCGACCAGCTACCCCTCTCAGAGCTTTCCATGCTGCTCGACAAGCGGCTCACACTTGATGTCCCTGTATACACCGTTTGGGGTGCCTGTGAAGATGTTAGGGTGCTGGAGAAGTTTCGTTCTGGAGAGTACAAGGTGAATAACCTTCATATTATCGACGAGGCCAACTCTCGCCTACTGGATATAGGTGGTGTCAAGCTTCGTCTGCTCGGATTGGGAGGTGCAGTGGTTATGCACAAGCTGTTTGATAACGGCGAGGGCAAGACCACTATTGCCGGTGGCCTAGGCACCATGTGGACTACTTTGCTGCAAATGGGTGAGCTAATTGACACAGCGAACCGTGTGTACGACCCATCGGAAACTCGTATCTTCGTCACCCATGCGTCACCTGCGCGTGAGGGAATGCTTAACCAGCTATCTGTGACCCTGAAAGCTGATTTCTCTGTTTCTGCCGGTTTACATTTCCGCTACGGCTCGTCCTATAACGAATTCTCCGTGAATCCCTCATTGGACCACTATCGAGGCAAGCTGGCCGCATCGAAGGCTTCCTTTAACGATGTTTGGGAAACGGTGCGCGGCGAGGTCGAGGCTGCAATTGCCTCTAACGAAGCCCAAAAGACGCTCTTGGATAATGCTCTCGATGTAGTGCAGAAGATGCCTACTATCGCTAACGGTGGGAACCCGTTCGGCGGACCTACTGGCCCCGGAAACGCAGCTGGTCAGGTCGACGAAAGTGCTTTCAAGAACATGTGGAACTTCAACCTTGCAGATGCAGCATTTGGTTTCCTGGTCCTTGAGATCGAAGCCGGCCGCATCGCGACGGAAATGCGCGCTCAGGGTTTCAACTTCGCACACCGCGGCGGTAAGCCTCCTGTGCCTGCCGTTGCTGGACAGCCCAATCCTCCCGTGCCTACCGGTACCCCTGGTGTGGCCTCCCCGGCAGCCCGCCC